CCATTTTTAAATCTGTTTTTAAATTTACTGGTATTTCCTGAACATTTGTTGGAACTTGATATTTATGGAAATTTACGGGGAGAAGTATCATGGGCATTTGCACAAATAGTGCAGTTACCCGAGTGTTGATCATTTTTAGGCAATAAGTTCAAAAGGATTTAGCAAGAAACTTAGAAGATTGGTCAGTGAGAAATTAAAATAGATGGATAAACTTTGTGGAGTATTTGAGTAGGAAAGTGAAGCATTTGTCTGTAGAAGAGACTGCTTTAAGGTGGATCTTCTCTGTATATTCTCCTTCTGTTCCTTGCTTTCTTTTACTTGACTTGTTCTGGAAATCATGCTTAGCATTTTCTTTGCTATTCTGCTTGCACGGGGAATCTTTTAAAAGTTTCTCTGTTAATACCCTTATGTATAAGCAAAGAAGTAGGATTATTTGAGAGCAGTAAGTGTGGACCATTATAGGGTATAAGTCCTCATAGAAGAAGTTGCTTTCTTCAATTGTTCCTATTAATTTTAAAACTTTAAAAACTTTAAAACTTTTAAAACTTTAACTCCTGCTGCCTGGCAAGGTCTGGTCATACACAAAATGATGCAACCTAGAAAATGGAAGAGAAGAGATCTAAAGATTAAATAATTCTGTGGCCTTTTTCAGTATTTTTTTTTTTTTTCATAAATATGAAAGAGTCTCTGAAGAGGGAATATGCTATTGCTCTGGCAATTCTGTGCTGTTTCCTTACTGCAAGGAGGAGACAGAAAGGAGAAGAATGTGACAATAATGCTCACTGTGGTCTTAAGCTGCATTAAAACTTTTCTGATAATGTAATGCATTGCAAGCTTTTAGAAAATAATTATTTGAATTGTAATTGTGGTTCAGAAAAGGTGATCTAAGTTGTATATTATTAAAAAAAATAAGAACCCTGACAGACACCCCAGACACACTTGGTGCAGGAATGTCACATGGACTGTTCTTACGAAACCCCTCACCTGTTGAATTTTTAAAGGTGAAAGAAATCCACATGTGTTACAGATCTAGCAAGCAGGTTTGGCTTTAGTCTTGTGGTTTACAGACAGGTTTATGACATACACTTACTCAGAAGGTCTTCTTGAACATCCTTCTGTGCTTTGAGTAGATTAGAAAATAACGATTAAGAACTGTGGATTTGGTTTCTTTAGGTCTGTGTTTTAATTGTGCAGTTGCCAGCTCTTTATCTTCAAAGCTGTTTCTAAAATAGATTCTGCCATCCCTCCTAGGTTCAATGGAGGAGGAGGAAAAAAAACTATGCTTACCCAATATTAAACCAGGACTACTTGCCAGAAAATTTAAGTATTCCAAATATAAAACATCCTCCAAAAGTGCCTTTGAAAAACAATCTTGCTTTGAAGTTAGATCTCTTGTCCTGTATTCATTCACTCTTGTGATTCAAATCTTTTTACAGGAACAGGTCCTGGAAAGATTCAAAGGGCCAAATGCAGAAAATTTTCAAATAGTCCTAGGAGATGACTGGCTGTGGCAAAAAAAGTGTTAGTTTTTGTTTACTTGATTTATTGCTATGTTGGAGTAATTTACATCTAAAGAAGAACGTGAATTCTCCTGTTACCCAGGCTTTAAAAGTTGGTTTACATGCTTTGTTTTAAGCATGTATTTAAAATGTGACATGTATTGGTGATATAAAAAAAAAAGAAATTCCTCCAAAGTATTGAACTTCTGTTGTATAATATACCAGGGTTTTGCAACTGACTGTACATCTTCTCAGCCTCAGCAACCTAAATGTGCACATTTTATTTTGTGATAAAGGAAATTTGATCTAATTTAGCCTGCGGCAAAAGAGGTTTTTACACTAAACTGAGTTATATTACATTTCTGTGGGCTGTTACACAGTTCAACTAATTTGCAGTATGTTGTTACACTCTGGCAGCATTTATCACATTTGATTCCTTACTCTGCAAGCAGAGCACATGTGGCATTGCTTTTCTTTAGTAAAACCTACTTGTAAATATTTTCTGTAAATATTTACCAGCCTTGAATTAGTAGGATGGTAAACTATGTCCTGAAAGCAATTTTGAGCACAAAAGGTAAAATGCTGCGCTAATGCCATTTGGATTGCTTTTGAGACATGAGTCAGAGTATTTAGGTTTAGGCTTGATGTGTCTTTGTGGCAGCACAGTGTGTTGTAGGGACGGGACAAGGTCTATACTAAGCCACGTTCTTGCAGTGGTACAGAAGTTTAGTCCCTGCATTGCAAAAAATAACACAATATTTCAGAGTCTTTTTTCTCAAAATAAGTACTTGGCTGATGATCTACAAGTACATTTTCATACACTGCTTTAGTGGAAGGCAAAGGAATGAAGAGTTATGAAATTCATAATTTTCCATTAACTGAAGCTTGTGGGGTCTTAGTTTTGTGTCACATGGATGTGTATGTTAGTGAAAAAAGTAAGGAAAAACATTTGTGTAGATCTTTGACTATTACTTGCTAACTTTGGATGTAGATTGTTTCTTACATTGTGATACCTTCAAGTATATTAGCTTCTGTTTAAAAATTTTATAAGAATGATGAATTTTTGAATGTTCTTAAAGGTTTTGAGGAGAAAGATTTTAAATTTCCAAGATTGACCAGAAACTTCGATTGTATTTCACAGTTTGTTTAATCCTAAAGGATTAATGCTGGTAGGAATTCATGTTAGTGTAATCACCAGCAATTAGTGAACTTTGATATTGATTACTCTTCCTCAGCTTGCACATTCCTTCATTCTGTCCTTTTGTCAGGGCAATCTGGGGGCAGTTGGCTTTTTCTGACGTAAACTTAGTAAAATGTTGATGCCATACATTAGTCTTTTAGTTCTAGTGTTGAACTAAGGAGATATACATCAATTTCATCCTGCAGTGGCCAGTACTAATGTCTGGATGTTTATGCAGCTATGGCAAAATGAATGCCAGCACTTGCAAAAGTTTTCTGTTCTGTCCCTCCCCAAAGTTTTTCAGTGAAAAGTGAGATTGAAATACATTTTTTTTTTAATGGAAGCAGAGTCATTTATAACTAAAAGTGCTTGATGCTTGGTGAAGTAGTCTGTTTTCTGACAATATTGTTTGAGCCTAGTTTATTATTTATTTTATTTTCATGTAGTAGTGTTCTGTGTGTTCAGTTGAGGTAAAGCAAAGCATTAGAAGATAATGTCATATAAAGTATACAGATTATTTTTATCTTGTAATCATGCCTTTCGTAGTCAATAAGATAGGTTTACATGTTGAGGCAGTATATTTTGTTAGGTAAGCTAATTTAGTTGGGAACAGTTTTCTCAACTTTTAGTTAGATTCGTAGCAACTAAGGTCAGTCCGAAAATCAGGTTATTCTTGCACATGTTTCTGTTAAAGGATGCTTCTCTCTCAGATATTTTGAAGAAAATAGAGAACCAAACAATTTTTTCCCTTCAAATAGCAATTGAATGATTAGTTGCAGTGTCATAGCATTGGCTCAAACACCTGTAATGCTTACTGCTGCTAGAATACTTTGTTCATGTGGACCTACTGTTTCCTCTGACAAGCTATTAAAGGTCAGAGGCCAATTGCATTTCCTTCCATCTAGCCATGGAATATAAAATAAAGCAAATGTAGTCTATGGGATGTTACTTTTCTTCTGTATACTAAACGTTTTATGAATTTATTTCTAATCTTGAGACCCCGAGTCATTCTTTATTATTTTTGCCTCTTAATAAATAAGATCTTAAAGAATAGGAATTTAAATTAAAAATTGCATAAAATCTTAACAATTGGTGTTAGTGTGAGATCTTGATCTGAGGACACAGAAAATATGTTATCATTCTTCTTGATCATGTGTGTAGTAATAGCGCAGACTGGTTTTAGATCTGCAGGTAATATACATAAAGTATTACTATGTCTGATATATCATTTGTTGTCTTTTTAGGTATACCAATAACAGTGCCACCACCAGGTAAACTTGCTTAGATTTTTTTTTCCCAAATCTGATGAAGAGATGTGCAACTTATCAACTTCCTTTTAATTATATAGATAAACAGTCATAAATACTAAATTGTATGTATATATGTAGGCTCAGTTATTTTGATGCCAGACAGAAGAGAAAATGTGTGAAACTGCTGTTGACAGTTTTTTAGATGTATATTCCTTCTTTTCTTGAAAATCTTTTTTTTCTCAACTATGCAGTAAATAATTTTTATTGCTGTTCATTAAGTATTGTTAGATAGGAATTCTTCTATGCTTCTAAATTAGCATATTTTTAATAATGATAAAATATTTTATTTGAAGCACTGATAATGTGTTCTTAATGTTTTGCCTTTGTAAAGCTGGAAAGTCGTTCTTAGTCTTACAAAGTAAAACCCATTTACACAGGAACAATTTTTTCATTGTTCTCTCTGGGATTTGTTTATTATTGTAAGCTTAGCCTAGTTCTTTGATGTGTTTGTGGGTGGTAGTTTTTTCTTCCCCCCTCCCCTTACCTAATTTATTGTTACAGGTTTTCCACCACCACCTGGCGGTCCTCCACCTTCCCTCATACCCACAATAGAAAGGTGATTATCTGTTTGTAATCTTATAAAGCAATATATCAGTATTCTGTAACTAAAATAAGTGAGTAAGCACTCTTGCACTGCCCAGTATTTTATGGATTTGTATCTGGGAGTGAGGACGCAGTTTCAGATTTTTACAGTAATTTTACAGAAATGTTGCTATTCTCACCTGTCAGCCTATTCTTTGAGTAGGTTTCTTGGCTACTTACTAGTTTAGTTATGACCCTATGTCAGTATAACTTATAGTTTTCACAGTATATCAGTGCTAACACCTAAGAACAAAATCAAGGTAAATGATGGTTAAAGTATTCTTTAATAATCTGAAGGCCTATTTAAGTGAACTGTGTAATTTTCAGCTACCATATCCTTTTTTATAAATGCACACAAACCATTTGGACACAGATTCAAGCCCTCATAAATTACAGGAAACTCCAGAGTTCCACAGAATACAAATGTGTATTTCTGTTCTGTTTGTTGTAAGTGTTCAGCTGTAATAGGCCTAATGGTACTTTTTCAATACCTTTTTTTCATATACATGTATATGTACATGCATACACATATTTATATCTATATATATATATATATATATAGATATATAAAATTCTAAAAACAGAAGAAAAAAAGTCAGCTAGGACAGTCCTTGAAAAGTATTTGTATTTAGCTAAAGGCCCAAACCAGGTCATATACAAAGCTTATTTAAGAAGATGGTACAAACTTCTTGTCAGTCCTTTGGATCTCACCAAAGGAAGATGTACACAACTGTTCTTTGAGACTGAAAATTCTATTAACCTATATGCTAGAGGATGATGATGATGGTAAATCTCTGAGAAAATCCTCATCTGATTTAATTGAGAAAAAAATCCTAACTGGAGGTATTTAATGTGCATGAAAGTAAATTTATTTGTTCATACTGATAGTTGCTGTGAGTACTGATTCAAATTGTTAAGCAGTGATCATTACCTTTACTTGTGGTGAATATTTATGTTGTTTCTGAAACATAATGTGAAAAAATCAAGTTTATTATGGAACCTGGGAACTATTTCTCATAGTTTTATATGTTAAGATTTTGCATGGGCCTTTCGTCACCATTGGTGTGTTTTTTCCTTCTTGAACTAAGCTAACCCAAAACATATTTTTCAATGTTGAAGTGCTTTTGAGAACAGAAAAAACACTTAGGTTAAATATTCAAAGATAATTCATGCAAGTTATGTAGGAAGTGCTAAAAATCATGAAAGAATTATGTATGTTGGAATTATGTCCTGTGCGAGTATCATCTTTTTTTAACCCTTCTGGTTTTTACCTACTTGAGTTGACTATCACTGGAAAAAGTTGTCCTAGAAAATGTGTAGCTAATTTAATAGCTTATGTATAGAACTACACATTTTAAGTCCACCTTTTCTTAGATATGCTCACACCTCTACTTTTTAACAGAAAGAATGAGAACGGCTTCATTCAGGAATGATCCACTTTCAAGCAAATGTAGATTAAATTCAGTATCTGTGCAGAAATGTATTATGAGAAGCATTTGAAATAGAAAATTCATTGAAAATATAAAGAGAACAACTGATTATGTGGATATTTTTGTTTAAAATTCCATAATTTTTTGTTTTCACCTCCTGTAGTAAACCACGAAATATACATATTTGTGTTGGTAGACAGCTTCCTTATTTAGTAATGCTCAAAATGGAGAACTTAATATTGCAACAAATGCTTTGTTTTCATCTCTGTGGCGGCAAGAATTTTGAAAGTGTCTATTTATTGGTGGAGGTAGCTCTGATGGTAAAACTGGGTTTTTATGTGTATTTTCTTTTCAACAGTGGGCATTCTTCTGGCTATGATGGTCGTTCTGTTCGCGCATTTTCATATGGCAGCGGTAAGTGAGGTTGTGGATTTGAACATTTTGACTAGTGCTATATCAAATCATTTGATATGAGGATTTTAGCTAGAAGACTAAACAAGTCCTGTCAGTAGTTCATTGTGGAAGCTTATTGCTGACCATTGTAAATAGATACATGCTGTTGCAAATGTAACCCCTGTCGATAAATACTATTGTTTTGCTTACATGTATACTGGATATCTTTTCCTGCTGCTTTTGCAGAACTATGATTTTAAAAAAATTATATACTGTAATCTCAACTACAAGTCAGGGAGAATTTTTCAGGAACTGGTAGGATTTAGAAGCAGAAAAACAAATACTGTAAAGATATCATCAGAATTTGAACCAGCAGGACCAGTCCTTGAAAAATCCTGAGTGATGTACCTCTCTTTTGAGAATCTGTTTGTCTAAGACTCTCTAGTCTTCAGCTATCCTGTTGCAAAGTCAGTCTTTTGTTTTTTTGGTTTGGTTTGGTTTGTTTTTTGTTTGTTGTTTGTTTTTTTTTTTTTAATTACTGTTATGGAAAAAAATCTGATGCTGAAAACCTTCATCTTCCGTTCTTTCAGTTAGAATGAACTAAAATAAAAGCTTTATCACAGGCATCCACAGAACCTACAGTGAATTTAGAACTGTTACCTAGCACAGCTCTGCTTCTTGTGCCAAAAGATAAAATGGGAAGATAAAGATAGAATCACAGAATGGTTTTGGTTGGAAGGAACCATCAAACATTATCTAGTTCCAACCTCCCTGCTGTGGGACAGGGACATCTTTCAATCACTACACCAGGTTGCTCAAAGTCCTGTCCAACCTGGCCTTGAACACTTGTAATGATGGGGCATCCACAACTTCTGTGGACAACCTGTGTCCCACCATCCTCACCATAAAGAATTTCTCCCCTGTGTCTAATTTAAACCCACCCTTTCTCAATTTAAAACCATGGCACCTTGTCCAGTCACTAATAGGCTGGTAAAAAGTCTCTCTCCATCTTGCTTTCTTATAAGCTCCCTTGAAATACTGAAAGGCTGCAGTAATGTCTTTCCAGACTCTCCTCTGTCTTCTCCAGGCTGAACAACCTAAACAACCTAGGAGAGATGTTCCAGCTCTCTGATCATTTTTGTGGCCCTCCTCTGGACCTGCTCTAACATGTCTTTCTTGTACTGGGGGCCCAAGAGCTCGATGCAGTACTCCAGCTAGGGTCTCATGAGAGAGAATCACTTCCCACAACCTGCTGACCACTCTTCTTTTTAATGTAGCCAAGGATACAAGTGTCTTCCTGGGCTGCGAACTCACATTGCTGTCTCATATTAAATTTTTTGTCCAGCAGTATCCCCAAGCCCTTCTCTGCAGGACTGCTTTGAATTAATTCATGTATATTAAATGCATATATATCATGTATATGGATGTCTGCAGTAATTAAATTGTGTTTGCTGAAGTTTTAGCAAAAGGGTAAAGCAGAGGTATATAACTAAGGCCACGCAGAGTATCATAAGGAAAGTACTCTTACGGTCTTTATTATGTATATTGCATCTAATATTTAGTCTCCAATATAGAGTGCCTTTCACTTTGGTCTGTTTTGTTAGAATTTTCTATTCTGTCAAGTATTATCAGGGACACAAGAATATTTCCAAGTTTTATGTTGACCTTCAGAGGTGATGGCATGCTTATGATGTTCAAAAGATGACTGTTATCGTGGTTATGCCAACATTGAATTTGAACTTGTTCAGCAGGATTTAAAAAACTATGTTTGCCTTTTTATGTGGTTTATGGGAGACCAAGGAGCACAGTCTGCTCTTATCTTCCCAGTCTTCTCCCAGTGTATCTGGTAGAATTTCAAATTTGCTTCACAAAGCAAATTGTCTGTCTTTAAGCTGTCCCTGTCATACAGACTTCTGGATCTGTAGAGCCTCAGTGACATTTTATCGCTGTTGCTGTCTCTTAGTGAAATATGTTTTCCTGGCCAGCATCATACTCTCAGTCCCTGTTGCGCAATGTGGTCGCTGGTCAGCATTTTACCCCAGTGCTCTCTGTGCATCAGATCTTAGGTATGTTGAGAGCTCAGCAGTGCAGTAGGGTACAGATGATCATCGTGATTTAACAGTCACTAAGTATATTTGTTTAATAGTTGCCTTGGATGATAGGGCTGAATCTTCAACCTGTTGTCTTCTTTGACAGTCTGTATGTTTCCTGGCTTTCCTGTCAAAATTGTAGGGGAAGGTGAGCAAATGGAAGATTCTAGTCTTTCTTCTGCCTATACAAATTCCTCAGCTCATGTTTTGGTGTCTTTTCCCTAGAAAAAGTCATGTTTCCCCTTGCAAACCCATTAGGAAAGTTATATTCTTAACTTGCAGCTTCAAGAACATCTGTTTTGTCTTTGTGCTCTTCCACTGCATCAATGTGGTTTTGTCAGTTTGCTCTTAAACCTTCCACAATTTGGTGCTACCTTTGCCATCAGATCTTTGAATTTTACTGTGCTGCATTTGATCTGCTACTGAAGCAACTTCTACTGTATGCTTGTTTGCTCTTTCTTCAAGCAGTTCTCTGTTCCATGCTCTAAATGTGCTTTATATCTTATGAACTTGTAAGACATTTAATGTTACAGAAAGAGAGTCAGTATTTTTTGAGGAACAAAGAAGATGCATTAAATAGTTTGCCTTACATTGTGACGGCATGAAGCTTTAAATTTTTAAATCTCCAAAACTATTAATTGTTCAATGCTCTGTTCCTGTTTTAAAAAATAAAATCAGTGTTAAATTTTGGAAGTGTCTATTTTCTTGCAGAAATTATTGGAATAATCCATGTAAAAATAGTAGAAGTGATAAATTACTTCATTCTGTATAATTAATGGAGAACACCAATTCATACTGAAAAATAAGCTTTTTGTATGTTGTGAATAATTCCTGGTGAAAATCTAGATATAAAAATGCATAGTGTCAAATTACTGGTTTATGTCATGTTATTGGGGTGGAAATAACACACTTTTCTCTGAGAATTACTCCAGATGGGATGGTAACTGAAATTTATTGTAATAGTTTATATTATCATTAATAATTGTTTTGTAGTATAGATTTAAAGTTTAAACTTAAGTTTAAACTTTAGATCAGAATGCTCTGGCAGCCAGTGTCTCATAGACCATACATGTGTTGTTGACATAGTGGCAAGTCAAGGAAATTAGCAGTCTTTAAAGTCCAGCTGGTTTTTTGCTATTTCTGGCTGCTTTCCTTCGAAGAATTTCAGGTTTTGGCAGTATAATGAACAGCATAATATTGTATTAGGGCATTTTCTTCTGTTAACCCTTCATTTTGTCTGTGGACCTGAGTTAAACAGTATCAAGCATTTTATTAGCAGCAAAACCTTTTATAAATGCTTTTTTAATGAATTATAATACTTTTCATTGCAAATGTGTTTTAACAATGAAATGTTTTTTCCTGCTTCCCTGCCTGCTCAAAAGGTCTTTTGTGTTCCTTCTCTGGATGCTTGGCAAACTGCTGTCTTAAGCTTCTGCCAAAGCTTTCTGGGGCAGGCATATCTCAGACTTTACAGGCAAGGCAGCCTGAACATAGCTGTCAATAGAAGCCACTAGTTTTATTAACTCAACAGTCTTAAATACAGTATCAGTAACAAACTTTACATTGTTCAGTGAATATTTATGTTAATTGTACTGTTAATCTCTTTGTGACACCATGAAGTCAAGTAAATATTGTTCTCATATTATAGATGATGAAGTGGAGCTCAAAACAAACGATTTATTGAAAGTTAGGAAAGCTAGCAAGGCAGATAAGCAGAAAGGGAGAAGTCCTCAGTACTGTAAGTCCGCTAGAGAGTGCTGTTTCCAGCTAAATACTCAGCCTTTGTTATTTTGTTTACAGGATGCATTCATGGGACTTATGGAGAGGGAGGGCAGGACAGAGTAATTGGGGAATAGTAGTTATGTGTTACATTGAAGTTGGCAGAAAGCAGTGGAGAAGCATCTTCCCTCTCTCTTCCTATTGCTAGCCCCCTAAAAAATGGTTTTGAGACAGTGTTGTGACTGCCTTCTTAACTTCTAAAGCATATCATCTTTTAGATTAAGACTATGCATAATTTTCTTAAACTATTATATTTTAGTGGGATTGGTGGTTGTCCTGAGTATTCATTAAAAATGTCGTCATACAAAGCATAAGTAGGAATGTTATTTCTTCTCCCAGATTATATTTATATCTCAAGCTTCTGTTACATCTGTAATCGGAAAAGCATGACAAAGCACAGTATAGAATATAAATTAGTGAATGAGAACTTTATAAGTAATGTTGTATTTTAAATACAATTATAATAAAGAATGAAAGATAAAAATAGTAGTGTCTAAATATAAAATTGGAGGCATCCTTTTTACTTTTTTTTCTGAAAGTTTCAGACCTGTAGTTTCAGAGCAACCAAGTTTAAAAGGCAGTTTTGTTTTCTGGTTGTTTTTGTTCTGTTGCTCCCCCAAAACAAAGCCATTTGACCACATAAAATCATATTCTTTCAGCAGATATTGGCACAATATTTTAATCTTTTTAATTCCAAAAGTATTTAGGCAGTCTTTGGGGTATATATCCTGGTTCTCTACGTCTTCATAAGAAGTGTTTAAATGAGGGCCAGAGGGTTTTATTAGCATCATAGAAAAAATGCAGTGTTTGCTCAGAATTAACTCTAATGTGAAAGGGGAAAATTGAAAACCGTCATCAGAGGAGGCTGGCAAACCTCTGTGTTTCCATGCCTAAGTAGTATTGCAATTTCCATATGATTTTTGATTTTGTTCTTTCTAATATCTACATCTCTCTCTTTAGTCACCTTTCCACACCCTGCAGGTTCTGCACCTTCGTGGTCTAGTCTTCTAGACACCAGCAAACAATGGGATTACTATGCAAGAAGAGAGAAAGATAGGGAACGTGAGAGAGAACGATCCCGAGATCGGGATCGCGACCGGGACCGAGACAGAGATCGAGAACGTACCAGAGATAGGGAAAGGGACCGAGATCACAGTCCATCGTCTAGTGCGTTCAACAGGTTAGTGAAATGTGTTAAGCATGCTGTAACTCTGCTCAAAACCCTTGTCTGTTTTAAATAGTGTGCTTCGACATTCAAATGTATTGTTCGGCTGTATATTCCAAAGCGCTAGAGGATGTGGCTTCCTCCCTTTCACCCTTTTCCCTTGGAAAATTGTAGATTTCTAAACGTAAAACAGAAGTGGAAAAAATGGACACATTTTTCAGTATACGTATGTTTCGTATACATCTAAACTGGTCATAGTGCTTTACACATTAAAGATGTGACTTAAGCCTTGAGAATGACTGAAGTACCTATCCCTGACATCGGTAGGTCTAGGAAAAGATCTGTAGATTTTGCACTAAATGAATTCTAGTTGCCAATTTGGTGCAAAGAGCAGCGTGTTACCACATTCGGCCTTAATTAGTTATTATCTGCTAAAATTGTTAATTTGATTGTTAAAACTGGCTGGATAATAATCTGTCTTCTTTATTATTTCAAGGTCAAGAACTTTTTTTCATTTTCATGCAGATGATTAAAATCATGGCAGATAACTTAATTCAGCTTTCAACTCTCTAATGGCTTTAAAAAAAAAAATAGCTGAAATTGTTCTGTGGTTCATGTGCACAAGTACAAAGCATTTAATGTTGCGCATTTAATGCTCTATGACTCCATAGAGCAGAGGTCTGTTGGCTTGCCAGATTTTTCTAAATTTCCTCTGCTTGTTATTTGCTAAGCATTTTGGGGTAAATATTTGATGCTTTTCATAGTGTTGTTTTGGGGGTTTTTTTAAGTTTTAATTTTTGCAGAATATATATGTTAGCTATTAGGCAGATTGTTCTTACCAGTGGTTTTACTGAGGAATGAGAGCACCCGGAGTCAACATTACATTGCCTGATGATTGTTAGCTGAAGACACAAGCTGGGTGCATGATGGGGGATTTTCCACGTATGCCAGTGTAGTGATGTCCTCTCCTGTGTGCATGTGTTATGTTCCAGAGTCAGTTTCTGACAACTGAAGACCTTTCTAATCATCTGTTTCTCAGACAGCTTGATTGAAGGCCAGAAAGAACCCTGGTCATTCAAGGGTGCTTGAAATGAACCTTAATAACTTCCAGGCCTTGAGAAATCTCTGTGCTGCTGCCAGAGTTATCTGTAAAGGAGGGGGAAGAGCAGGCCTCAACTTTGTGTGACTAAATTATCCACCATCTGTAGCAAAGCTGTTGCCACATGGCTGTGTAAGAAAATGGGAGGCCCTTAACTAGGATGAGTTGGTTTGGGAATCACAGAAAAGGTGGGAGAGGCTTAAGAAAGAACATGCAGACATAATGTTTTTAGGACGGTTGACTTTCAATTTTATGCACATAAGAAAATAAAATGAATTTAGCTGTGAGGAAGAGAATGTAAACTATTTTAGAGACTGCACAGATTTATAACTTTTATTTATATTCTCTTTGTTTAAACTTTGATCAAGCAATACTTTGGTGGGACTTGGAATCAGCATCATGTTAAGCTTTTTACTGCTCAGAAATTACTGCTTTCAATGTTTTTAGTAGTTCTCCAGATAAATAGCCTGTGTTTGTGCTACAGCATTTCTTAAAATTGTAGGAAAATGGGAATTGTTTTTATTCTATTAGTATAACCAAAATGTGGTTTAAAGAGCTGAACTTTCAGCTCTTTATATTCTGTTCTGCTCTTACCCTGCTATCCTCAGAAGAAAGTGTGCATTTAGTCAATTAGTTACAACTAAAAATGTAGACTTAGGAATTTGATTGATATCTTACCATTTTGTGGTTTTTCCTCAGCAATTTGAAAAATTAAAAAAACCCCAAAACTAAAACCCAAGCAACTGTATTTCTAAGGTCCTGGAATGCAGTAATCCCATGCAACAGAGCAGATAAGGGTCTGTCTGGCTAGAGAGCAGCTTTACAGGACTTGGTGTCCTGATAGTCAGTAAACTGAATAAGACTCCACGATCAATGTGTGATTAAGGTCAAAATGCACTGAGCAGCATTAGTGTGTTGTTCCTGAAGGTTCCCAACATACTGATCTTGGCAAACTGATTTTTTACTTCACTTATAGAAGTTGTTTGTTTTCAGACACACTTAACAGGGTGTCATTGTTCCTTCGTAGTTTGCCAAAATAAGGTTTAAAAGGAGCATCAATAATATTTTTAAACTTTTGTAGAGTGTTTTCAAATAGCTGTGCAACAGAACAGATCTGTTGCATCTGCAACAGATGCAGACTGTGGGTTAATGTTAAAGGGTTTGGGCCTCATCTTTGAAACCAACCATAAGTTTACAAGTAGCCATCTGATTTCTTATGGCAAGATTATCAGAAGGTAGTGCTACACATTCAGATTTTAACTTTTAAATTAGATCATAACTTTTTAGTTAGATGATCAAAATAAAAGTTTTGGGAAGCAATATCAGATACTGAGAGGAAACTGTAGCAGCACAGAGAGGCTGGGGAGTCTCCATCCTTAGAGATATCCAAAAACAGTCTTGACATTGTCCTGACAGCCCTGCTTTAGCAGGGATTTGGCCCAGATGACCTCCAATCATGCCTTCCAGCCTCAGTCAGTCTGTGATTCTGTGTGATCTGGTCACAAATGTACTTTGTAGGATGTGATCAGCCTACTCTCAGTTCTGTAGTCATAAATGCATTATAAAACCAAGGAATTTGTATTACTCAGTGGCAAGTCATAACTTTGAGTTTCATAAGAGCTGAAGTTTTCCTGATTTTGATGTGTGAATATTTTTGTGTCCCTTAGAAAAGTGAGATTTTCTATGGGGTGTTTGATGCGTCTCTACAGTGTCTTAAATTGCTAATTTTTGAAGTTTGTTTAACGATATAATTATACAGAACTTCATATTAAGACTACTGCTGTTGCTTCAGGCATTCTGCCTTCTAACTCTGGGTTTTCATGCATAATTGTAGTAATCATTAATGTAGTGTCTTCACTTGAGGAACGGCCAGAGGATCCAACTTACGGCAGATAAAATTGGTGTGATCGAAGTTCTCACTCCTCCAGGACAGGAGAAATCTCTTTAGACTTAAACTGTTCTCCTTGCGTAATCTGTCTGGTCTGTTCTGCTGCTGTCAGGGACTGCAGGAAGATACTTTCTTTAACGGTAAATGTTGGCAAAGACAAAACACTTGCCTTTTGTCAAGTTGATAGTATCTAAATTGTTTGCTGTTTTCACTACTGCCTCAGAAAGCCTGGTTGCGTTGTGCCTTTCTTTAGGATTTGTTGGGGATCTTCTGCCAAACTATGGTTACAGAAGACTTAATGTGACATCTATAATTAGTTATGCTAAATTCATTTGCATTGAGGTTGTACTATTAAATGATGCTGGACACTATCTGGATAGGATTTTCTTAGTAGAGGAATGATTAAATTACTATGTCTTTTTAAGCTATACTAATGTAGCATTTGAGTGGTGTTGGCTAACAACAGATAGTGCTCTTATCTTTTTTTTTTTTTTTTTAAATTTCACTGAACTCTTGAAACTGCCCTTTTCACCAAGTCAAAATATGAAAATATGTTTTTAAGTAAAGCCCTTAAAATCTTGCCTAGCCCGCAATATTTAGGGGTTTTACCAGTATTGTGTCAGGGAAGCAATCACGGTAATCCAACAGAGGAGTGGAAGTAGAGATGGTATTGGCATTAAAGAAAAATTAATTTTAAAAGCAACCCATAAACACTGAGTATATTTTACTGTCAGTCTCTTTGTACCTAGCTTTTTGTTTTCTTGAAGCTCATGTAAGGAAATAGATCAAGTGTATGAAAATTTAATCTAATTTGCCCAAATGGTGTAATAGTCGAAAAGCATACTGGTAAGTGTTGAGTGCTACCTACACTGATCCGAAGACATTGCTGAAGTTTATGTAGGATTGTATTTCATTTGCAGTTAGATACAGGTGTAAGCTAACAGCTTGGTAACTCCTGCACAAACATAATGGGACACTGTTGTGTTCTTTTTTCTTTTGTTTTTATGAACAATTTCCTTTCAATATTGTACTAACTGCAGAAGTCTAGTGTGTTAGGTGAAGAGCTTTAATGTCCTTTGAGTACTGTGGATCTCATATAGACACTCAGAAGCAATATTTTATCATTTACCTTGAGAGTAAAAATTTCTTTTTCTTTTTGTAACAAATATGTACTGCTTGGTGTTACTGTTCTGAAAATATCTTCTTTTTGAATCAGTGATGAAGAACGCTACAGATACAGAGACTATGCAGAAAGAGGCTACGACCGCCATAGAACAAGTAGAGAGAAAGAAGACAGACACAGAGACAGGAGACACAGAGAGAAAGAAGAGACTAGACATAAGTCATCTCGAAGGTTTGATTGGGTTTTTTTCTTTTTTTTTTTTTTTTAATAAGATATGAAAGACTTGCCCAGTTTAAAAAAAAATAAACTTTTAAAAGAACCCCAAACAAACTGGAGTTTTGTGGAAAGACTGTAAACACTTACGTGTGCTACTTGGAATAAGTCTGCCATATAAAATGGGGACAGACAAAAAGCAATATTGAGCCTGGATAACCTTGTACTGAATGGTGGATGTGACAGCCTTGGTTGGTGAACAGAAATTAGGAATTTGGGGAAAAGGGTAAAAATGGTCAGTCAGAAAGAGGTGGAGTGAAGCTGACATTCAGCAGCAAAACCAAAAGAACTCAACAGTGATTCTCAGTAAGTAAAATATCCCTCATGGTCACTTGATGGAAATTTTTTTACATGATCCATTTTAAGTTAGAAATAAAGGTTAATTCCAGGGAATGTGGTCAACAAGAACTTCAAATTGTTAAGGAATGCCAGTAGAGACATGACATTATTTAAAAGTATTGCTATTAGAATACAGGTTACAAATGTGAAAAATCATTCCATTTTCCCAACAAAAAGTACAGGGTGGGTGGATGTCTGTACCGCTCAATGAAAAATTCAGTTTGGCGCTCACATCCAAATGCTCTGAGGTGGAATGGGAACAGGTGCCACTTTTCAAATACGAATGCAGCTGGTTTTTTGGTCCTTTGTAATTAAATGGGGCCTGAAGTGTCAAGTGTTCGAAGCATATTTTCTCTCTCTTTATTTAGTAACAGCAGACGTCGTCACGACAGTGAAGAAGGGGACAGCCACAGAAGGCACAAACACAAAAAATCCAAAAGAAGCAAAGAAGGAAAAGAAGCCAGTGGTGAACCTGCTCCTGAACAGGAAAACACTGAAGCTGCCCCTGTGGAATAGGCTTGTGTGATTTTTGCCTACTTGCATATATATTAGTGCCAGAAATAGATTACTATAAATCTTGTTATTTTTCTGGGAATTATAATAATTTGCTCTTAATCTTGTTCTGTTAGTTTGAAATCAAAGATTACTTTGGGTTTTTTTGAAAATAAAAGACTGAATTTTTCATGTTAAGATTCTTGGACTGACTTTGTCTCTTAAGAAACAGTGAGAAAACATCTTACAGCTAGAGGCTTATGCTCTTACAATATAAGTAGGGCTTAAATTCTTTGTATTAAATTGTTTCCATTTTCATAAGCCAACGAGAAGGTCATTCTTTTACTGACTTCAGAAACAGTGTGCATTCATTTTATTATATGCCAACATCTGGAACAGTGTGGGTTTAGTATAGCTTTTGGACTCCCATTTGGAAAGGTCATCTATTACTACAGGGAGAGGCAGAAACTGCATACTCTTCAAGAACCTTGTACTAAGGTGAAACAAAAAAAAATTAGAGAAAGTGGGAGAGGTGCTGATTGTTCTTAGTCTAATGAAACACTACATGTGGTGATGATACAGTTGGTAATTATGTCTGGTTTGTGTGGGTGCATAAGGATGAATTAAGCTGGATAATCATCCCTGCTGTTTTTCAGTGGCTTAAGAGAAAGTTCATTTTAGTCTTTGTTCTAGGGGAACAGCTGTCCTTAACATGATAAAGATTAACAAACATATCCTCTTCCCACTGCAGGCTTGTGAGTCAAAAATAAGACTGTGGAACATGGGTAATTTGCAGAGAAAGACAAAGGACTATTTTAAGAGACATATCATCACTTTCAGATTTACTTCAGTCAGAACAGTATCAAGTGTGATTGATATGGTGGTCCTGCAAAAATTGTACTGCCCAGTCAGGGTGCTGTCTAGAAGACTTACTCCATGGCATTAGCAGGGTGCAGTGTACTTCATTGAAAGCAATAATTCTGTATAAAAATCCCAGATTTAATAGTATTAATCAAAACATACCAGGGAAATGAGGTCATTTGGTTTTGGATGAAAATAATGTCTTAACAAGTACACAGTTAAAATTATATTTAATTATTTTAGAAATTTAATTCACAGTTTTACAGACTAACAAACAGTACTTGAAAGTCTTGAAAATACCACCTTTCATGCTGACCATGAAAAGGTACACAAAATCAAAGTGCTATTAATGTGTTGGATAAAACCCTTCACCTGATTATTGCAACTAGAAAAATTGCAAGAAATGTTTCCATAAGTTATTCATGGATTTCTTTTTGTAAATCAAAACAGAGTGGGTGAGCAGGAGCTGTTGCTCCTTGAATTTCATTATAATGCATTAAATAGATATATATATATATGTATAAAAAAACAACAAAAACCCCTTAAGAACACAGGGAAGGAAAGAGTTAAGTCTGTAGCTTAGATCACTCTGAAGTGACTTTCTGACAGGTTTTACTGCTTTGCCTAAACTTGACTTTTCTTGACATGCAGGTTGAAGTTTCACAAACCTTTGCTTTATAAATACATACTTGAGCCCCCCAAAAAAGCAAAGACTGATGTTCCTTTTTTTTTCCCCTGTGTTAAATTACTTGTCATACTCTCCACAAAGACTTGTCTTATAAAAAAGTGCCAGGCCAGGACACAATTGTGAGAGTAATTTTTCCTTTCAGTTCTTTGAGCATCCTTGCCAAGCAGGCATGCATCATTCCTGATGTGTTCCTGCCGTTGACAGCAAGGAGGATGTCACCGCATCTGAAAAAACAAATGCAAATGCAAGAGAACAATTAAACAAGGTGACTTCTTATCTTAAATGTTTGCAAATGCCAAAGCATGTCCTTAAGCTGGGAGGAAAGGGTAGCAATGAGTACTGTGGTTCCTTCTCTGGCTGACTACTGTGAATAAGGGAATAAAGCAGGTAAAAAATACTTCACTTGTTTGGTTTTCTTACAAATTTATAATTAATTAGACATACTTGAAAGAAAACAGGATATAGCTCTTTCAGACGGAAATTATCATCACAGAATCATAAAAGGGCTTGAGTTGGAAGGGACCTTAAAAGATCATCTAGTTCCAACTGCCCTGCTGTGAGCAGGGACACATTCTACTAGACCAGGTTGCTCAAAGCCCCAGCCAGCCTGTCCTTGAACAGGAGTGAGGCATCCACAACTTCTCTGGACAACCTGTTTCAGTGCCTCACCACCCTCACATTAAATAATTTAGTATCTAATCTAAACCTACTATCAGTTTAAAGCCATTCCCCCTTGTTCTCTCACTGCATGCTGTTGTAAAGAGTCCTTTTCCAACTTTCTTGTAGGCCCTCTTTAGGTACTGGAATGATCCATATTCTGCGTAAACCTATGTTTTAAGGCTTGTTAATTGATTTAAATTTGCACCATAATTGGGTATCTCTTCTCTTAAATTTGTACTGGTGTTTGCAGGGAAGGCTTTTGGTTGGTTTTTTTTAGAGCTGGGTATGTGGAAAGCTTCTTGGTGCTGGCATGCTTTGTACCACCCCAGAGATCAAACTGGATTATCTTTATACTTATTCATATAGTAGTGATTGCTAGACATCTGAAAACATTCTGCTATGAAGGCAGATCTGTTAAAGTTCAGGATACTTATGTCTTGTTTCCAGATCTGTCAGAGTTAGTTCTGTATCAATGAGTCCTTTCCCCCTTCCCCCACTGTCTTCATCAAACATGTTTAAAAAAACAAACCAACAAAAAACCAAAAAAACCACCACAAATTAACTAGAAGAAAAACGTACTTAAATGCTACTTTTGTTTATATAGTTATCATTACCTAATTCTGCCATCATTGTATGCTGGTGTTCCCCCAACAATGGATTTGATAAAGAACGGTTTGTTTCCAGTAAGTTCTTCATAACCTCCTACAATGCTGAAGCCAAGACTTCCAGATGTATTTCTTCGTAATACGATTTCTTTGCAGCTGTACAAATACCTGAAACAAACCAGTCTAATTAAATATCTTACAGTTAGCTTCAGATGAACCATTAATGATGAATCTGCCTTTTCATGCACCCGTAGAGTGTTTTGAAGGTGCAAAATAGCACCATAGTTCCACTGTATTAAATACTTACACTTCTGTTTCCATAGTGCTGCTTTCTACAACCAGTTCTGAAAGTAAAAATACTAAGTAATCTTGGGGTGAAAATATTAAATTAGCTAGTTTATGAGGTAAAAGTTTAGGCAAATTATCTAGTTGGTATGATGGACAAAAGCACTTAAAACTGGAGTTAAGGTTCGTAAATCAGCAATCCAAAAAACTGTATTTCACTTACATTTACTTACAATTACTTGTTTATTGTCCCGGTTTGAGCCTGCATGTGATTTACTACATCAGAGTGGTCAGTTATTTACTACTGTGGTGCATATCAAAGCTAAATAATTTTAAGGCCAATGGAATAAATTACAAAAATGACAGAGATGACACAAAGACAAGTATTGGTGGAAGAAGGAATCCTGAGCTTTTCTTGTAAAGTAATGTGGTAAGTCACAGCATGGAAGATGGGAGAAACTTACCCATGTCAGTCAGTGCTTTGAAAAACTGATTCTGCTCTCAAGATAATTTGTCCTCACTATAATGATAACACAATATGTTACACTAACAGAGCTGAAATCTACTTCTCCCTCCATTCGTCTTTTGAATGTATTTTATGATACTGTGTGTTAGGCTGAGTCAAAGCATAGCTGAAACTAGGAATACAGGAAAGCAAGAATAATGTTATTGGACTCTTATATGTTGCCTGTTGCTCTGAGTACAATAATTTCAGTACTTTTTCTGTTTCTTTTTTTTTTAACCAAATTAATTTCACTTTTACAGAGTGAGTGATGGAAATTTCTGTCCATAGTACTTAACCCACTCATCATTAGCGATGTATCCAGGAATGATTGAATAGCCTGAATATCCATTTGCTATTCTTTATCTGAAAAGGTAGGCTGGCTTACAGCAAGCAACTGTTGCAAGCTCTATTCAGAGACTTTTTAGGTTTCTAAGAAGCAGCTAACACTTCTGTAGAAAGATAAATAGCCTTCAAAGACCAATATGTCTAGCTTTTTAAAAATTGTGTTTGTCAAATAGTGTCTTTCATGGCAAGATTTTATAGTAATACTAGATTAGTCCCCCAGGACCTACAAATACTTGCTGGCTGCCAGGATGGTAGGTATGTAATATTTGCACAAGAATTCACTGGCTGCTAATGTACGAAACAGGTGACATGTGCTGCTTTCCTCAGCAGCCAGGCATTATTACTTTACCATCTGTGGGCTTCTTCAATGTGCAAAATCACTTAGACCCTCTATGTTTGATGGTACTTATCAAGGTCATGACCAAGCGATGCCAGGATTCAGCCGTTAGTGCTATAACTCAGTGTTGATTTGGGGGCCAGGGGTCTCTGCTGCCCGGTGCTACACTCACTGCCTTAAGGAGTACATTCCTGAAGTTAAAAGGTGATCAGCTAAATCCTAATGTCATAGAAAAGTAATAGGCAAGCAGGTAAAGACAGGAGGAGAACACACAGTGAAGCCAAACAAGTCTTATGTGCATTCTGTACATGCAGTCTGTAAGGTTATCAGTTGCATGGTCTCCATCAGTCCAGACAGGATAAATACATATTTGCTGTCAAGGTGTATGCTGAATTAACTGAAGTATCCTAGCATTGTTCTCACTACCAGAGCAGATGAAACACATGGGAAACAAGGAACAGCAGAGAGTAGAGCGACTACTCTATCCTGACTCCAAGGCTCTGCACTGCCTTTTGCCTCACCAAAGGGAGGGGCAGGATATAACCTGCTGTGACAACAAGGCAGCGGAGACCAGGAAATCAGGAGGAGAGGTGCTGGTGTGACGCTGAGTTTGTGAAAAGGGAAGGAAAGGGCTTTCTGAAGTGTTTATAAGTTTGTCATCTTTGGTTTCCAATACCCAAATTGGTAATTAAAAAAAAAAGTTCCCCAAGCCAAGTCTGTTTTGCCCCCAACAGTAACCGGTGACCCTTGAGTTCTCTCATTCTTCCTATTTTCTCTCGTCCTGCTGTGGGTGTTGGTGCAGGCAGATCCAACCCGTGACACTAGCCAGAGCTAGAGACTGATTCTCGACAAATAGGAGTGGCTAGGAGGTGTTTACACCTTTAATTTGATTTTTAATTATCTCCATCCTCTGGGACAGAGTATAAGCATGGCAGTGCACCATCCATCAAGTATTTGTTAGCACTGTCAGAAATGTGAAAAGGATGCTGGCAGGCAGGATGCACAAAGCTGAACTGCGTGTAATGTGGGTACTGCTTGCTCTGAACTTAGTGCCTAAGCAGAGATGCCTTCTCTGCCTGAGCAAAAAGCAGCCCAAAGGGAGTGAGTTCCTTTGGGTCTAGAAAATGTCACAGAGAGAAAATAAATACTTGTCATCTGAAGAGGCACAGTGTGTTTGAGTAGATTATTTCTCTGTGGTAGTAAAAGCCCTGGTTTGTGTGTTTTGACCCAGTCAAACTGCCATAACTCACTAAACTGCAACCAGTCTAAAAAGAACCACGTTCTGCCTTGGAAGAGAGCAGCTCATAGTCTTCTATCCCTATCTGTAAATACTCCAAAAGATGAGAACAAGGAATAATTTACGTGTGACCTTGCCTCAGATACAGATTTGGCAGTTTCCAGGGTCTAGCCACAGGGTCCCATCCTAAAAAATACTACAACTGAGCATCAGTTACTGATGCACAAGGAATTGTAAAGTGCCTATGTTCAAATAGTTAAATGTACAATTCACTGCTGATTTTCATGAAGTGCAAGTAGCCTTATGGTCTGGGAATGCAAACCAGCCCAACTGCAGGAGGACTTCTGCAATAACAGCTATGAAAAGTGTAACTCCCTCCCCCTGTCCCGTTACAGTACACAAGTGGCAGTGTAGTAACATTTGAGAATTACTTCTAACAGAGCCTTAGAATCTGGATTAGGTTAATTTGGAGGAGTTTCTGTCCTAATTTCATGGTTTACCTCCTGTTCTACCCATTTTGCTTAATGACTTTGGCCACCTCCTGTCTTTCTCATCTCACTTTGCAGATGAAGAAAAGCACTCTTGTGAAGCACTAATGTTTGTAAATGTTATGACAGGATGATCTATAAAGTATTTTTAAGTGTTAGCTGAGAGAAGGAAATGTGAGGAGAGCAAAGAAAGGAGAGCAGGAAAACAAGCAAGAGTGGAAGCGGCATCACAGAGCTGGGAAACATTTTTCATCAGCTGTTCCCTGTTATTTCCTTTCTGTATGCTTCCCAACACCATGTCCTTCTACCAATAAAGGAGACCTGTCTTCCTCAACAACAAACAATTCAATTTGCTACCCTGAAATAAGTCTTCAGGTGGGAATGCTTAAGGTCCTGAATCACTCTTTCCTTCCGACGCCCAGCCCACAGCCCCTCTGCTCGCATGCAGGCCAAGTTTTGACAGATGTCAGATGCACATGTGCATCTATTTTATAACCACCGCATATTGGATTGTACTTCAGAAGGAACAGAGGAGCTGTTTATGCGTTATTAAGCCATCCAAAAGTAACAAAAGCCAATTCTAAGATCTCACAAGGAAAGGATTGAAATTTAGGTGAGATCCACAAATGTTTAATTATGCAAGGTGGCTTTTCCAAGTAAGGGATCAGATAACTTGTCTGATTCTGCTGCTACCAACTTGATCTAGAAAAATGGTATAATTCCATAAGTCTCATTATTTGTGTCACTTGGCTGTGACCCATCTCTGTAATATGTCTGCAGTCCCTGGGAAAGGAGAGAGTTCTGTTCCAATACTCTGTCCTAATAAAATTGGGCATTTGCAGTAAGCTACTCTTAATCATGTAATCATGTAACTATTACTAATGTTAACCTTTTTTCAACTTCATTGGTAATGGGCAGAGGTCTGTAGACATGCTCTAGTATTTAGTTCAACCCAGCACATTTTATGGGACCCTCAAGTGAATTTCATGGTTTTGGAACACAGAAGGAAAGACTCTCTCCCCTTGGTTTCTTGAGCCTGAACATTGCGCTCAAAGCTATGAGGTCAAGCTGCCTCTGTACTCTCCGCCTTGCTCATTGTGAACAGATACACACACCGAACTGCCAGGGCTTGTCTAGAGCCACATCTTTACCTTCTCAACAGAGTTTAAATAATCCACCATCAAGTCTCCTCCTTTTCACAGCATGCCTATTTCCTAGCCTACCAGTTTTACCACCTTTTCTATTTATTCTGTTTGTCTTATGTAGGTGTGCCCCTTCCTGCCCATCTTCCCAAATGCCATTTTGACATTTCTACTTTTTCATCTGCTGTACTAAACATTCTTAGACTTGCATATGGAGCAGTCCCTCCAATAAATGGTTTTAATTAAAGGAGGTGATTCTTCACCATCTTGCCCTATAGCAGCACATTGGGTACTTTTGCCAAGACAGACCTGTCAGATGTCTATTTCTGAGAATAATTTTCTCTGATGGCCTGGAAAATGTCATGAGACTGGTGACAGTACCTTGATATCTAGTAAAGTGTGACCCTTGCTAAAAGCAAACTGAAAGCTAGATAGGGAAAGGTTAAATGTTTAACCTGGAGTGCAATGAGTTAACATGACACATGTCCCAGGGAGAGAACTGGTTGAAGGACTTCCAGATGTCTTTTGTGGGTCCTGGAGAATCAGTTCAATCAAAGGGTAAGCGCACTCATGCTGGAGAAGACTGAAGGGTCTGATAGTACCTAATGATCAATCAATCACAAACCTGATCCTCACACACCCCTACTCAACCAACCAGCTGCTAGTAAGGATACAGTGCACCTTTGTTACTGGCACATCGAAGGAGCATTGGTCCCTGTTTTAGGACCTAGTCTGATGCTCAGAGCAGTGTACCCGCTCAGCATACCAATGTTTCTTTGAAGGAGAAGGGCCATGCTGTGTTCTGTGCACGGCCTTGCAGCTGGGGATAATGTTACAATGAATTCCTGTCTTCAGCCTTGCTGACGCTGGAGCTGGTTTTCCTTCAGACCAAAAGGCTTAGAATGCCTTCACACAATGCAGCCTTCAGACGAGGGAGGATAGAGTGAACTCAGAGACTCTTTTTAAAATGGGAAAACCACCTTTTTTTTTTTCCCCTAACTACGAAGTGGAACTGACTGATGTGAACTCTGGATGCAAGACTGCAGTACTACGGAGCTCTGTTCTTCATCTTCACCACCCTGCTAAGGACATGGGAACTTAGGGTAGCTGTGGATAGGAGATGATGACCAGGCAGCCAAGGTTTCCTACACAGCCCAACAAAGGTGGCATAGGCAGGGTGCAGATGTTTCAGTCCATCTAGTAATGGATGGTGACAGAAAGCAACACACGGCATTGTAAATTACAGCAGCTATAAGGCCTCTAGTCTGCTCTACTGGGAGCCACTGCTCACACTCTAAGTGCCTTCACAATGCTGCTGGTCAAGATCAGAGGTGCAGGAGAAGTCAGCAAGAATGAGGACCTCCCTCGGCTTCCTGTCTGCAGAGAGACTGGGTGAGGAAAGTTTACTATTGCCTAGGGTAGCAAGTTATGGGTCATCTATTTAATCCTTTTTCTTTTTACTGCTTTTGTTTCACAGGAATAAGTACACAGTTCTTTCCACAGGAGGAGGAACCTTTTGCCTATAGATGACAAACACACAGCCTGCCTTCTGCTCTTGCAGTGCTTCAGCACATGTTATACCACTATTAGCCTCAGACCGAGCCCTGAAAAACATCTGTCCCTCACATCACACCTTGCTGCAAGGTGAGTGAGCTCAAAATGGCTCAGCTAGAAGGAGGGAAAGCATCTAACCTGTTTCGCAAGAGTGGGAAATGAAGACGAATCCTGAAACTGTGCCTAGAGCAAAAGCCCACCTGTTCTGCAAACCATCTTTTCATGCCCTCCCACAAAAGAGAAAGAGAACTGCTGCCAGGGTTAGGAGCACAGACACAAGAAACTTGTAAGCAAAACCCTGCATTCCTTAAAATTGAATACCAGTTTCAGCTCTGTGATGCTACCTTTGCATATTCACAGATTCACATGTCCTCGTTTTATACTTTACAAAATGTCTAGGAAGCTGTAGGTATTACACTCTGCACACCAACCAAGTGTGTCTGAGAGAACAAGACATGCGATGTGGCTTTTATTATCCTAACTGAAACGACAACACAGCTGCTTCCTGTGTATGACAAATGTACTTCTTTCAGCCGGGGGTGGGGTTAAAAGAGGTGATTTGGAGATACTGGCCAACTTCACGCACTTTACAACATCTGGGTAAAGTCAAACAATTCAGCTGGATTTGGCTAAGGGGCTGTGAAGCTTGAGAGCTGCAGGAGGGGTAGCTGTGCCTTCTGCAGGGTGGTCGAGCCTGGACCCCAACAAGGTCCTGTATCTCTGCAAGGTTTGTCTTTCACTCCCTAAGTGCCAGATATGTTTTCAAGACAAACAGTTCAGGATCTTATCCTCCCCTGCAAGGGCAACTGTGTGTCTATTTTGCCACGTACACATACCCATTTACAAAAGGTATTTAGAGTCAAGTCTGCGACAGAGCCTGGATTTAATTAAGATGTCAGTGCAATGAATCAAATAAAAAGAAAGAATTGCCAGAAAATACAAATCTTTCCTCCCACTCCCCTTCAACAAGAAAATACAATCTGTGGACTTACCGTGGCAGCCCCAGCCACATAACCCAGGATGGTGACCACTCGCTGCTGCTCTCAGAGGTCGCCTGCACCGCCTCAGGGGGTGGCAGGTGATCCCGCTCCTCCTGGGCTTCGCATGCTCTCATCTCCAGGGCTTTGAGCACCACTGATGAGTTGGTGTTTTTCAGCAGGGCGACGGCCTCACTCCGGCTGACTCCTGTCAGGTCAATCCCATTCACGTTCAGGAGGATGTCACCTGAGACCAATAAAACAGATGATAAAAACCTCTGCAACTGTTTCTAGGATCTCCCTCCTACCCCCACAAACAAATGAGTCAAAACCATGGCCAAGAACTTGCTGCCTGATGAGGCTGTTTGTTAATCCTATGGTTTAATGTGGATGTGAAGCATATGCTAGTAAACATGTCACAGGCATGAGGGAAGGGTCTAGGTCGCCGTACACAGGACTATTGCCAGGCTGGACAGAGGATTTTGTCCTGGTTTCTTGCCACGTCATATCCTGCATCCAGAGCCAAATGAACAGCTGGGGTCCTGCTGTACCAACAAGCTTTGGTACTGGCACCTAATGCTAGTCCACATCTCTGATGTCCACTTCCAGCTGGCAACTTTTGTACTCAACCTGAGCTTGAAACCTGACAGCTCAAAGATATTTTTCTCCCAGCTCTCCCTAAGCTGAAGACTGCCACTCCAGCTGGCTCTTTGTGAAGTTTGCTTTGCGGGAATAACGTCCTATTATTTTCATATTAATGCCTGTTTGAAGCCAAAACCTCTTTCTGTGTACCTTATTTATAATGTAGGCACAGCAGCTTCAGAGAAAAATGCAAAGATGACCTCAATCACTACAGGGAGATCAGTAAAGACATCGTTAATATCATGCAAGCAGCCACAGTGCCAAGTGCTCTGCTACCCTTGGCACCGGTCTCTCACACCAGGGCCTCCTTGGGTGCCCTCTGTGCTTGGCCTGGCAGGGATGTAATCCCCAGCAGTCCAGGCAGTGCAATGTGAACATTAACCTCTTCTTGTGGTCTGCCCCAATGAGAAGGGCAACTGCCTAAGAGCTGCTCTAAGCCATGGAGGCTTGTTGCACTGTTATAACATCACATATTCATTTGTTTCGAATTTTATCAAATTAACTAGGCTAAATTTTCCATGCTACCTCATGATAAATATTTTTTTGGAAAGTGTATCTCACTGAGAGGTAGTAATTTCTCAGCAGGAGGAATGGGGAAACCTGCTGGTTTGCTTTTGTTATCATGTTCTCACACGGGTTTTGATGAGCAGACACAAAGGGGAGGTTCCCATGTGTGCCACTGTTGGGTACTGAGACCCAGGTTTGTGGGGCCCAGCTGGGCTGCAGCTATTCTGGCCAATTTTGGGGTGCCTTCACTTCCCTCACAATCAGAATTTCCCTCCAGCTTTCCAGGCAGAGACTGGACTGAAGCTGAGCATAGGGGATGAAGGGCAAGTGAACTGTGTGGTTGCTGGATGCAGAGTACTGAGGTACTCGCCTCTTGAAGCTGTAACCTGAGAGTTTTATCATTCCTCCACTGCCCACCTATTCCCACAAAACCAAGGCACCCAAAACTGATAAAAAATGTTCCTCATCTTGCTCTAAAGGCTTATTCATGCAGGGGGATGGAAACTATTATCAATGGAGTTATGAAATCAATGTTTCCTGATGTGATATTGAGCCACAAGGCATTAATGTTGCTTCATATATGATGCTCCTGTATATTTCATTCAAAGTCATGAATGCAGTGACAAATAAGCACAAACATTTACATTAAAAACACGTGAAGGTTGTACAATGACTATCTCAGTAGTTAGGAGAAGGTGGTGCAAGTTCATTTTCCTGTGAAAAACTATTTATCTTTTTTTTCAACCAGAATATTCCAACATCCTACTTCACATAGATGGTTATTGCTGCATATTATGCTTTTTCTGGTAACAGACTTGAGATCCTCTAACCCAACGCATCCCAAAATCTGTAAGATGGCTGAAGATGCCAGGGTATGATGCTCTTTCATTACCCCTCTGTTTCTCCAAAGAAGACCTTGATTTAAAGCAGACTTTCAAAATCCCCTCATTTTACCTGTTTTTATCCTGCTGTCTCTGCTGATAACTCCTCCAGGTTCCACACTTATCACATAGATAGGCAAATCCCACTCCCGGTTAGATGCTCCGCCTGCTACAGTCATTCCCAGCGATTCTGTGTGATCTTTCCGGACAGCCACCACCTTCTCATGACAGGTGACAGTGTGAAAGGTGCTCTGTGATGGAGAAAACAACAAGAACAAACATAGTGGGCATGGTGACCTCCCTGACAGCTTAGGCATTTTCTATTGAAACAAATATTCATCAAGAGAATACCAAAGCACTTCCCAGATGCCTGCCACACTTCCTGATGGCAGGCAGCATTCTCTGTGGGGCTTAGGCATCTGTGGAGTCAGATCTACCACTAGATAACTGTGTTTTAATAGTTAAAATCAGGCACTACTCCCACCAAAATCAGAATTGCTTCAGTGCTAAGGATAATACAAGCAGATCTTCAAAATGTAAATAAGGAACCTGATTTAAAAAGAAAAAAAAAAGGTTCTTTATATTAATATCACTGGTGGTCCTAATATCTTTGACAATCAGGTCATGCTTCTTATCTTACTCCTTTCAGTCTGTGCATCATCTATATACTTAGTGAGAAGTAATCCTCTTGGGTTTAAGGAATAAAATTACTGGGGACAAATTAGAAGATAGATATTCATTTTCTCTTCCATATATCTGTGTTTCTGTGTAAGACATGGGTGGAAATACACTTGAGGAATAAGTGTTTCTGCATCTACAGCGAAGAGCCAGCAGCTTCCAGGTGCTCTTCCCAGTGCTTGTTCTTAAAAGGTCACTTTGGGATGGCAACCTCTACTGCCTGAGGACAGTCATCCCCATATTTCTCCCCATGATCAGGAAAAATTGCTGGTCATGCAATAACTAGTGTATGAGTGAGGGTGAAACAGATCCACAGGATGCTGGAGGATGGAGAACCAAAGCAAGTTCCAACAAAACCTGTGAACTGAATGTCATGTTTACAGTGCATTCAGTTCTTACAGAAGAGTTCAAAAGACAAATAAAATCTGGATTTAAGTGTTAACTGCTTTGCTTTCCTTACGTATTTCATAAGCAGTACTCCTGGCATCTATTCCCGACAATCCCAGCCTCTCTGGCAGGAACAGCATCATCCATTCCAGGCTCATACGTAGATATAATAGCCTGCTTCTAAAGACGTTTCAAATGTATATTAAAAAACACCTTCTCATTCACAACTGTGACCTCACATTCATAATATGCAAAAATAAACTCAAAGCCACATTAATCTCTTCTTGAAAATCTGACATCTCACAAAGACACTTCCCCTTGTTTCCTGGGCCAGCAGCACAGAAAGTGGAGCAGATGAGTCCACAATGCCTTCCTAAGTAACAGTGATGGACAAAGGAAGATTACAGCAAGGATTCTTTATGGGACTAGGGCAGGCTGTGTCTTGGACTTGTGGGTTTTTTAAAGGTATGTTTGGTGGAACTAACTCCACATCAAGATTTCTGTGATGCAACACTGACAACAAAACACAGGACCTTTCAGGAGCTTAGCAACGGATCTCTAGATGCTTGAGCAGATGAACAGTGGCTGCCACAGAACTCCAGGAACAAAAAAAGGTGAAGAGTTCAGGGGAAAGAGGAATTTTTTCAGTCACCAGGACAAAAACCAAACACAGTTTTTTCAGACACATCAGACCTGGCCCATGCAGAACACAGTCACTGAATAATTGGGCTTATGGCTTGCAAATGAACCTAAAAATTTCTGAAGATTTTAAAACCTTCAGTATATAAATGTTCTGATCCACATAATTTTAACCTTTCCCCTTTGTCTTTAAGGTGAAATTGGAATTCTACTTGGGGCTCCAAGTGACAGGGCAGTTCTGTTACTTATCCATCAAGTCTCAGACAACAAAACCATTAGAGCATTGTCTAGTTTATCACTATTTTTTGAGGAATCAGCAGAGAAACAAATTTCAAAGCAGTGCTTGGGAACAAATTGCCCTGTTACATTTCAGTGAAGAATTATAAAGGTACAAGTACTTGTGTGTTCAACCACGAAGGACCGGTTTTCTTTTGAAGCTATTCTTCCACATACAGTTTTTTACATTGTTGCAGATAGAAAGGAATTGGGGTGACTTGACTGAGACAAAGGCAGTGATGAAAGGAACATAAAGCCTTTTTTAGTAAACACACGTAGAGCTTGCTTAGGGGTACAACTGATAGTGAGTGAACCAGTTAAAAGGTAGTGTTTATCAGTGACTGCATTTCAATTCATTCTCTTCTAAACAATTGTCCTTCTCTGTCATTTTGAAGTGACCCTGGAGGTCAGGAGAAGGAAAACATAACAGTTCATCTCCTCCTCTTTTTATTTTTTTTCCCTTTTCCATATATTTACTGGAAAATAAATATTTACAGCAGATTATCACAACATCAAAGGTATGACACATGTCTTGCAGGCAAAAGACATAGCTGTGTCTGTTTGGAAAATGTACTTCACCTGAAAGTTAACCTGCTCATATGGTCAGGAAACATTGCCTACTTGAGCAACATTTTCTTTGCATTAAGTACTAGACAATTTGTTAGAAAAGAGTAAGAAAACAGTTTGAATTAAAAACAAGTGCTATTTAATTAATGGCAAAGCTCCCAGTGACTTCAAAGGAATTGAATCTGGCCTGTTTATGCATTGCAGCCTGGCTTTGCAACCTCAGCTGCACAAGGAAGTGTTTCTGACATCTCCTCTTTTCTGAATCCAGGCAGCAGCCAGAAGAAGTTTGGGCTGTACTTCCCCTATCTCTGTACACAGGAAAACAGATCCCTGAAGCCCTGTGCAGGACCAATCTCTTGGCATACCATACACCCAGCATCACTACCACCAGAGAAGGACATGGTCACAGTGTCCTCCTCTTACACAGCACCTTGTGGCTTGCATGGCTGGTTGCCACCGGCCTGAAGGAGAACAGCCTCCTCATGGCTTACAGATGGAGGTAGGCTGTCAGGAGACCAACATCTTGGCTAAAAGAAGTTCCTGAGCTGTTGTACGAGCCAGGTGGCTGCTAAAAGCTAGAATTTATTCGTGGTGCTGAATACAGCCAAGGATAGAGAGCCGACTTCAGCCCATGTGTACGTACATGCTCTACAGCAAGAGCAGTTTCCCTCAAAGAGAGCATTCCTGACCTGCTAATATCACCTCCTACAGTAAGCTCAGGGGACAAAATACACCTTAAAATTAACCAGAATTCAAGGCAGCTAGCAATCTCTCTATTAATCACACCTAATAAAGCAATCCCACTGGTGGCAGCAGGTAGCAGAGTCATCAAACCACACTCATGAAACCACACTCAGGAAACTCCCCTGATAATGAAGTCCAGCCAACAAGCATTACCTTGGTTTTGGGCAAGAACATGTGCTGCATTAGGACACTGTACAGGCCCTTGGCTTGGAAGCATAACTCTTGCTAATGTCTATTTAAAACAAATAACATTTTAAGTCTGCCAAAGCCTACGGTTTAAAGATCATGAATTACAAAGGATGTTCAGTTAAACCTTCAGCAAAAAATAATGAGAAATTCAAATTGACACATTCATGCCCTATAAAAGGGCAACTAACACTCCAGTAATGTTTGTATCAGACCAAAAGTCCACAGTGCTTGAAGCTCATTGTGTCTACCGGGTGTACTGCTCTCCTGATCTACTGCCAGAACATTTTCTCTGATATAAGCCCTCCACTGCACACACACAAAGCTAAAGGGAGATAGAAACAGCTCAGACTTTTCTTTTTTGGCAGTGATCTTCCCTGGAAAGTGCCCAAATGGTGGCACTGAACAGAAGCCCACAGCAGCACACCCACTCACATGCTTATGTAGTACTCCTCTCCTGTGGCAAACTGAAATCTCCCTAAAAGCCACGGCCCATCTAACAAAAGATGACTCATTAGTCTTCAAAGGACTGTTGCAAAGTCAACATCATGCCTTCAATCTCACAGCTACCCAAAATAATGTTAGATTTACTAACGGCTCCCATCTAACACCTCTCAGTAGAGGATGAGAAAATGAGAAAATGAGAATCTGAGGCCATTTATGGAAGACAAATCATCTTCCCAAATAATCCCATGTGGCATCAATTAATTGGATCAATATGGTAGAACTAACAGGTGCTTGGAGCTTCCATAGAAATCATACAGTAGCAACACAAGCTAATTGCTTTCCTACACATATCTCCCTAAGGACATCATTACTTCATTAGGAAATAATGCCTTGCAGATGCATGATTAGTTGGGCATTTCTTGCTACCCACTAGTAGCTACTGAGCATTGACTCTGCTTTCTGGTTTAACTCCTGCTGATCCAGTCCTACCCAACAAGGGCTGTGACTGGGACTTCACGGAAAATGAAAGCTAAAAATAAATATACATTAGCATTTTTAACACATAAAAACACTGAATAATGTAATTTTTAAAAACCTGCAAAAATGGGTGTCTTTCAAGAGTTGTAAATCCAGAGTTAGATTTGGCTCCTTGGTAACAGCTGTGCACCCAGAATCTGGTCCAAAGGTCCCTCTAAGGACAGAATTGGCTGCCCTTCAGGCAGAATGAATTTAAGCCCTGCCTGTCTACTTCCTTGATGCACCCCTGGCACGGGTGGCCAGGGTCAGGCTTCCATGGGTTTACGTAGGTGGTGACACACAGAGCAATTAATGCAAATTAGCCAGGCGTGTGACTTTAAATTCAGTGAAATAAACAAATTCAGTTCCTGCAAGGACATGCTTTGTTCTGTCTAAAGTGCAAAGAATAACACTGAGTAAACTCATAAAACATATTTTAAAAGCTCTAGCTACCCTGGTTTCGACTTTAAAACCTCATACGTTTAACCATCAGCCTTATGCAGAGGGCATATCGTGAGCCTAAATGCACTAAGCACATGTAACCAGGTACACAGGAGCAGCTGGAGGGACAGTTTGGTAACCAGAGCCATATCTGGGCGAGATGGCTGCTCTGTGATGTGTCCCTGGGTTGGGTCCAGACATGCTGTGCACTGCCAGCCCTCAGAGCCCTCATACCGTGCAAGTTCCAGCTGCTGCCAAAGCAGAACCAACACTTTGGGTCCAAAGCTCCACAGAAAGTCAGCATGCTTGCAGCAGCCAGGGAGACCACAGCTGCTATCTGCCACCAAACCATCAGCTAAGTCAAGGCAAAGGTATCTTAATAAACGAGCAATAGATTAGTTATTACCATAATTTTCAAACAGCTTATGTGAATCTTTCGGGCCAGCACATGAAAAGTTTTTGTCTGAAGACTTTGTTTCAGATGAAGAAACTTTAGATAAACCTCTTATGTTTGTTGGAGTGCATTGCCCTGTGCTGGCTCACATTGTCGGCCAGGTCCATGCCTGTTGCCAGGATGCTATGTGCACACCTGCCCCACCACTGCCCCTGCCTTCTCCTTCCCTCTCCACCTCAGGCAGAGCCAGAGCAGAACCAGTGGATAAATAATGAGCTTTTATGTTTCAATTGCAAAGTAAGATGTTTTTCTGGTGATAGAAACCAGGGATAACACCCCGAGACGTGAAAACACAAGCTGCCCTCCCATTCCCCTGTCCCATGAATGGCAGAGAAGCCACACGAATGCCCGTGCCCTTACCTTGCTGGGGTTGTTTCTCTCGGAGGGACAGGGCTGGGGGCCACTGCCACTGTAACTCCAGCCCGTCTCCTGCAAGATGTCGGGGGTCTGCTGCCGGGTCTGCCGCGACACGATGAAGTGAACCTGCTTCTCGCTGGCCTGTGGGAGGAGGTACAGTGTGAGTCGCACTGCCCTAGTCAATAAAGCCCTGCACCTCAGCCCCACAGAGTTCATGAAATATGGGTACCATCAAAGCATGGTTTGGATTTCCCACTAATGTTGTAATGACATAAAGCAGTAGCAACAGTTCAGGTCAATAAAGTTCTTAAAAGTTTACTGCCAGGCACTTCTCTTGAAAATCTGGTGTTAACTCAAAAAAATCCTTCCTATCTGCCCCAAATTTGGCTGGAGTCAGTGATCCACCACAGTGCACCACAGCTCTCACATACACCTGTGTACAGCACTGCAAAGCAGCATGTGCCTGCAACAGTAGAGACAGACAGACAGACAACGAGAGCTGCTGCTGGCTGACAGATGGGAAAGCTGGGAAAGGTGCAATTAACCCTGAAATGATGTACATGCTTAAGCCTTGGCTGGTGAAAGTGAGGACTAAACAATGTAACTAAGTTCACCTGCATGCAATGAGTATGACAAATGTAAGAAAGATTAAAGAAATAATGTGCAACCATTTTGAGAAATAAAATCGTACTGCACTAGAGCACAGAGAAAGAGGCAGGGCACAAGGAAGCAGAGAGAGTAATGAAGTTTATTTTTGGAAGAATCACTTCAAAAACAATTAACCCAAGCTCAAAGTGCTTTTAGGCCTTTTTGCACAATGCTGCAGTGCTTCTACTGAGTTATGCTTGTGCGTTATTTTTAGGGTGCTCTGTGTGTGCCTGATATTAGTGTTAATGCTGTGTACAGGTGGCATTTTTTTTCTCTTATTCAATCAGCACTGTATCCCTAGAAGCAAATGGCTTTATTCACTCCTCAGTAAGACTCACATGAATCTGTTCAAAACAGCAGTGATACAAAGATAGAGCTGAGAAGAGTGGGGTTTAGCTGGGTAAATCATAGAAGTCTGCCTTAGGGGCAAACCAACACACTGAACTAAAATGAAGTGCAGTGCAGAAATAACCTCAATGCTATAGAAGCATACTCAGAGGATGTAAAAAATTAATCCTCTAATCTCCTCTCCAGGCTAAAGACCTTGGTGTTGTGCCAGGCACGAGGGGCTATTAAGGACCAGTTTCCAGACAGACTCCTGCATGCTTGCTCTCAGGTTATACCCGAGGGATTGCTCAGTATGGAGTGTGGAGCCCCCACACAAGCACATCTGGAGGTCTGATCCCCCTGGGGCTGCAGTTGCAATGCTTGTTGGTACCATATCCCTGGAGGCATCAGACCTCCTGGCTTGCTCACTGGCACAGTGACATGGCCTGCTCTCCGGGGAGAAGCTCCAAGGAGAGCTGGCATTGAGCAAGCAGCTGGAAACCAAACCCAGATTCAGTTGCGCTGTTGAAATCAAATCTTCCACAGACAACTAACAGAAGCCAGAGGAAGCCTCTGGGATTTTGGGTTTTGTAGCTTGGTTTGTCTTTTCTGGAGCTGAATTCAATAGCAGTAGCTGAGGGTTAAAAAAAGCTTTTGAAAAATGTCATTTTAGTTAAGAAAAAGCAATCTACTTCTCCTAAATCTCCAACTTCAGGCCCGAAATATACACGTTCAGACTAATTCCAGTGCTAAATTCAGTGCTAATTCCAATAAAGTAAAAAAATGTGCACTTTGTTGCTTTCCCACTATCTTGGGGAATACTATTTTTTTCACCAGAAACTCAAATCTCCACAGCTTCATAATATATCATTTAGTGCATACACATGTATTTCAAAATAACTTTCTGGATGTTTTTACCAGAGCTGTTTTTATGGAATATTAATTTGAGGACTCTGGACTCAACTGGTACCCAAAAGCAGAATGCTGTATCTTGTCAGAAAGGAAATCATCCTGGTCCCTAGTTTGTAATATGATTGAGATGGAACCAAACAATACAAGAATAAACCTCCCAAGGACATGTGGCCCCATGAAAACCCAGTTTTCTCTAAGATGAACAACTTCACCTTAATGCAATTTCCTTTTAAAAGTCATCTGCTGCCACATGGTAAGCCTCAAAGTTGGTTATTTAGAGAAAGGTTGTAAATGTGATTAATTACCATAGAACAACTAGCAGAAGTTCAACAAGAGTCGCTATTGCAATATCACTTTTGCCTCCAGGTCAGTCAAGTTGAGTACTTTCTCAGAAGTCCAGAGTGTTTTAAGAAGTTATCCAAACAACAAGACCAGCTTTTGTATTTACATACAAATAAAAAGACATTAATGTTTCTACCAATCAGAATATTCATTACTGACTCATTCAGATCCCTCTCTCTCTCTTATCCCTTGCTTTTTATACAATTCTTTTTCTGTATTTTATGCTGAAGCAAGAATAAAAAAAATTAGGTTAGCTTTGAGACTGAGTGCAAGTAATAGCTGAAGCAATCTACTGTAATTAAAATCTGTATTACAGCCACAGCAAATCAAGCAGGAAGGCAGAGACATGGTGGCAACCTCTGAGCATCTAGTAGGCAAGTGCATCTTGAAAAGAGGAAGCAGTGCTGCTCTCAGCAGAAGTTGCCCCATCTCTCACAGGGACGATGGAACGTGGATACACCCCACATCACAACCTGCTTGTCAGAAGCAGTTGTTGCGATGAAGAGGGGCTCATGAGTCCACCACAGCTGCTCCGAATTGTGGTGAGGGAAAGAGGGAGAGCTGAGGGTGAACATCTGGGGTCAGTAAAGTTTGGCTCAGCCCATGCAGCTCGGCTTGATGTGCTCACACGAGCACCCACTGACCTGTTACCTCGTTCCTTTTCTTGTCACTCTCATGGAAAACAGATGTGGAATGTCATGTTATTTAGATGAGAAGTGCCTCTTCTGACACAAGGCCATGACTGAAGATGATGTGACAAACGGGAAGCAGCAAACTCCCAAGTCTTATGATGTGTGCATGTTCCTAATCAGCACTTACACGTTTTCTTCATTTCAGTTCTTGTGACTGAGCTTATAACCAGCCAGGCATCTAATCTACTGATTAAAAACTGCTTCAAGTATGCTAATGTATAATTGCTATAGGCCTGATGAATAAGACCTGTCTCAATTATTCATTATTTAAAAGCCAAAACTATCAGATTCCACAGAAATCTTGATGTTCTTCCAGTTGTTCTTAGTCCAGTAAGCCACCACCTTTTAATGAATGTTAGTTCTGTTTTTAAAGAAACCAATGGTGTATTTGTAGCTTTCACCACCACAAATCAGAAGACCTCAGTGTACTGCAAGTGACACACTCAGGTCTCAACAGCCAGGTTGCTGCTGAGAAATCAGAGGACACAGTGAAATATCCTTTCGCGTAAGAAGCAAATGCAAAACATTTGTGGCTTCAGAATAACGTTTTTTCTCTGACATGACATGGAAACAGGAAAGGCAAATGATAATTGATGAAAAAACATGACAAAAAAGACACAGGTTCTGGGAATTTTGCATTAGACAAATGTGATTCATAGAGCTCAGACCAATGCAATGTAATCTTGGCTGTTTGGAAATCTGAATCTCCCCTTTGATGGGCATGTTGTTTAAATTCCCAGGAACTGGTGTGCATTTCAAGAATTATTATAAATAACATCCACTCTTTGGAGCCCAATAAGGGCTTTAGTTGCATTTTTAAACACTTGTATGTGAGTGGTTATTTTGTTAGTAATTTTTTCCATTTCATCTGTAGGCTGCATGTGTTTTTTGCTTATGAAGCCTTGTTTTGCCTTTTTTTGTAGCCATAAAGAACTGTTCCAAGAATACAATTTTTTTTAGAAAGTTTGTCATTCCAGACTTGTTGCCCTCAGAGAATTTAAAACTTTCCCCTTCTGCCTTCTGCTCCCAGTTAGTGAGCTACATAAGGTAATCCAGAAAGATGCTGGACCAGAATTTCAACAACTGGCATTATGCAAGGGGATGACATTTTCTTTACCTAAGCCATAAACTTCTTAATAAAAGCTGGCTACAACCAACCGTGAATCTAAGCTAACTTTTCACAAAATGAACGCATTTGAATGCTTCTTTCAGTCCGACTTATATTACACTGATTATACCTGTCAGAAAAGCAGAAGCAGCCAGCCTGATTTGACATCTTTTTATTGAAGCCTATGAAATTCTTCAATATGTGAACACTCTACATGCCTCCAAATGAAACTTAAAAATGCACAAGTATAATAAGTGCTATAAATATGAGATAAAAGCAACAAAAGATCCTTGGCTTTGCTTTTTGTGTTGAAGTTTTCTAAAAAAAACATAGTCCGTAAACAAAGAAAACAAATGAAAATGGTTCTGGAGGGGAAATAAGGCAAAAGCTGAGTGGTTTTGTAACTAAGAAAGGCACAGGGATTTTTTTTTTTTTTGTGACAGTTATGTGTTAAGACTGCTTAGTCTTAACATTGCCTCATTGCAGAGCCATCTATCTAGTTCTCCACAAGCATCTAAATAGAGATTTATAAAAACTACAGCTACAAATCCATTTTTCCAAAACAAATCTGATTTTCCATATGCTGGATTTAGGTAAGAAATACCTATAAGGAATGGACTACCTTCAGTCATAAAACACATCCATGGGAAATTACTGAGTTTGGGAGTTTGACATTCATCCTGAAACATGCCATCCACTGCCTTAGGCTACTCTGGTTCACTCCAGGGCTGCACCAGAGAGCACTGTGACTCCTTCTGAGCTGGAGGAGCTAAGATCCTGCTGGACCCAGTGCTTCCAGGGTGCAGGTTGGCATGCCTTTTGGCAGATGGCATCACACTTTGATGATGCTCAGAGGATATAGATGTTTACAGTGATCTGTATGTTCCAAAGCCTGATGGTAGCAGGCACCACTACCCAAGACATGAGAGTCCATGCCTACATTCACCCTTGAAGCCACAGTGAAACCAAGGAGCTTTTAGAGGAGTAAATTCCCATCCAAGCTTGAATGTCTCCTCCCCTCCTCCAAACCCACAAACTCAATGTCTGGCCCTGCTTTGCAACGGATGGTGAAAACACACTGCTTGGTTTTTGCACAGTTCAAAACCCGTGGTCAAAGTGGTGATGACAAACCTGTATCAGCTGGGCTGCGCTCTCTGGACTGCCGTACCGATGGTCGTGTCCATTGATGGCCAACACCCGGTCGTTCTCCTGAAGCTGTCCGTCACGGGCAGCCATGCCACCTTCCAGCAAGTTGAAAATAAATACCCCCGGCTCATCGGCCTTGCGAACCAGCTTTATTCCCAGCTGCTCATCTGGACTGCTTTTGTTTAGCACAACATGAAAGCTGTCATCCCTATTGCAGGGAGCATCAAGGGAAAGTCCGCTGTTTCGGCATCGGTACCTCTGCTCTCGGAGCACCGTCAGTCGGAGCACGTGGCAGGGTTGTTTCAGGATTGACAGGGCATAGTTGTGAGGCACATTTTTGATGTCCATGCCATTTACCTGGAAGAGAGAAGTGTAAATCAGCAGCAGGAAGCCAGTCTATTCTGAGCTGGCACTGGAGACAGCAGCTCTATTTACACAGATGTCTTCATACAAAGTGACATGTGCTATTTCAAACTGTGTCAAGCAGGAGGCCAAGTCTGCAGTGCAGAACAGCCTTCCCCCCAAGGAAAGGATGTGCTGTACAGTTTCTGCCCTTTTTCTTCCCCTTTCTCCCTGATAGTCTCCAGACACACGTTATTTTCCATCTTTCTTATTGTTCTTTCCCAAGCTTCAATATCCTTTCATAGATCTTAGTTTTATTCTACTAGCTTCTGATTTCAGCTTGCCTTGCCAACCTTTCCTTTCACTCACACCACTTTCCTGCTGCTTCTCTTCTTCATTATCTCCCAGCTGTTCTAGGTACAGTAAAAAAAAAAGTTCCTCAGCAATGAATCTCTAATTAAAATGCAGAAAAGAGCCTCAAGTAGAAGTTTAAATGCCCTGGATATTTACTAGCAATTCTGATGATTTACCACACCAGAAATCAGACTTTTTAAGTTTCTCAGCTTTTTCCAGGTAAGATTTAACTCAGACGACAGTAAAACTGCACAACTGCCACTTTTTTAATTTGGATAGGAAAAAGAAAGAGCTCCCAGCCAACCCTGTCATGTCCGTATATGTAAGAATGACTAGGCATTGTACTTTATATTGCTAAATAAAAACCAGTTGTAAGATTGCAACTCACTGCTGGCTGGAAAACCCCAATCAGACAAGTCATTTCCACATAGTTTTACACTGCACAGGTTGAACCATTTAAATATTAAGAAATGTCTCCAAAATGCAACAGAAATGGTCCCCAGGACAGACAAAAGCATTTGGCTGGTGTTTGCCTTTGCAGGTTGCCTGTGTGGGTGTGATAGGGCTGTCCCTGCTACAGTCTTGCGGGGGTCTGCATCCAGAGAAACACACCTCAACTAACTAACTTGCCAGCTTGGTACCATGAACAGCATGAGCTGCAGCAGAATGGGGCTGAAATTCCTAAGAATCCTTGGTAAATCCCTGGGCAATGAGCCACAACTGTGGAGGGCTGAGCTGGCCCATCCGTGCTACAGTCACAGCTTCATAGTGCAGTTTGGATGTGCCCTGCAGGAACACTTTTGTTTCAGTGGTGCCATTAACTCTGCCACTGCATGCTGGCACCGGGACAAAAAGCCTCCATGAAAGGCACAACTGAGTGATGCTTATCCAGCTACTACCTGGAATCACAATCCAGAGGCATTTTTATACACTACTACAGTGAAAGATGCCCACTTTGTGATCCTGAGAAATCTCTTTGGCCAGAGTCTCTCTGACATGAAGTAGAAGGCATGACACAGCCTTGGCATGCCTCAAGTGTCCTCAGATACCACTGAGGTCAGCAAAAGCTGGGGAAGCATGGTGGCTTATAGGTGGTGCTCTGAATTTCAGAGGATTATCCTTAGTAATTACTCACATGGAATTTGTAGTAGAAAAAGTCAGTAGGACTTGGGGAACTACTCACTAACCCTACCAGCTAGGCATGCTAGAGCAGGCAGCAGGGTGGACATCCAGAGTCTCACCTGGAAGAAAACCCAGAGATATGATGTCAGATCTTTGCAGTCTATGAAACTTCCAGCACCTGCAGCCTTATCCCAGCTAATGTCATGCTGGTTAGCCTGGGCATCAGCACCAGTCTGGCCACGGCAGCATGACCCACCCACAGTGAACAAAGCAGCCTGCTCCCAAATGTTTACTTCTAATTTGGAAATCCTGGGTGAGCTGCAGCTGTACCTTTGGCTTGCAATGTGAATATGCCTGTGCACTCCAAATACACACCACTGAAGTATCAAAGCAAGGAAGGAACTAGAATTTTCTGTAGTCACTCTTTGCTTCTAAGGACTGATGCATTAATATAATTTACCATCCTTGCTGAACTCCAAGTTGTGGGGGCAACTGAGAGTGCAGTTCCCATTCAAAAGCTGATGGGATATAAAGATATAAAGATATACGATCTTTAACCATCTGGCCCAATTCTTGTTCATCTCTTGTACATTTCTATAGAAGTAGGAGCAGAAATAGCAGTCAACAGCTAATGCCTGGAGGCTTCTCAAGTTTGTTCTTACAGATTTCAGCTGGGGCCGCTGGTGGAGCAACACTCACAAAATAAAGTGAGTGGTGTCTAACGCTTCTGTGGTATTGAACACATCATACAGAGGATCTAGATGCTGAAATAACACAACTGTGATCAGCCCCCTGTCACCTATCCTGGTATAAGTGGGATGTGAGGCAGTGGAAACCTCACCAACTGAGATTTAGGCCCACAGTTCAGTGCAAACAAACTGGAAAAAAAGCCCAGAAACAACTTTTGCACCACTGGGTCAGAAATGTTGACAGTCTATTGTCCTACATTGCATTTTGGATCTACCACGTTTGAGGAGAAATCAGAGTGGCTTGTCAATGAATAGGAAACAGAAACAAATCCATGAACTTCAAAAACTGTTGGAATTTAGGAAATCATTACAGCATGTAGAGGAACTGAATGTCTTTTTGAATGCAACATTGCAAATATCATTATAATTGACTTAATCATGTTCTTTGTTAGGATATTTTTATCTTGTACCTTCACAGTACTGTACCTTTAGTATCATGTCTCCAGGCAGCAATCTTCCATCTCTGGCAATTACCCCATCTCGATAAATGTGCTGTATAATAATGTGAACCAAGGGGGTCTCACTGCCTCCCACAATCCTAATGGCCAGACTTTCATGAGGATCGGTTCGGCTGATTTTAATGCAGGTAATTTCCCCATCTGGAATCAGGTGATACAACCTGGGAAAACCTGGAAATGCACATCACAAGGTATTTATTTGACATCACAGCTTTGCTTTGTTGAAATATGCATGGCACAAGCTCAAGTACCTGCCAAACTAGGTTTTATGCCTGGATATGATTTATAGTAAGTGAGTAGGAAAGAATAGGTATGCTTGCTGAGTGGACTTGAAGGGATCTTTCTAAAATTAAGATATTCAGAATTTCTTTTTTTCCCCACAAAACACAGCCCTAAACCTTTGATGTAATCCAGACAGATGAAACGTACTTAAAAACTGTTACACATGTTAGGGGAACAAAATACATTTTTAGACCCCAGAGAAACCTCAGAACCATGTCACAGTTCCTTACTGGACCTAGAGCAGATGGGCAAGGGTACCTCAACAAACATCCATCCCATCCATCCCCGGTAGCATCTCAGGCTGTTCTCTAGCTTTGGTGCCCTAGTGGAGGACTGGGTGCTTGCCTTGTGACATCCAAGGAAGCATTTTATTTATCTTCATCTAACAGAAGACAAGGTATCTTGGACAACCCAAAGCACCCAGCAGTTTCCCCACCAGATTCCTCTCCTTTCATCACTGCTTGAACTCTAGGAAGTAGGAATGACTGGCTCTCACTGTGATGTGTCTATATTAAAAGCACGGTATGCTCAAAGTGCCTGGAGGGAAAGATCTCTGCTGGCCCTGGCAATCTGGCTGTGGGGAGGAGGGACTCATGGTGAACAGAGGTCTTTTTTGTATTTATAATGCACTGGATAAGAGTATCCTCTTCCAAATGCCACTTTTCAACTGGCCTGTTTGATTTCACAGCACGTCAATAATACTTTTCTTACTTCTAGGTCAATTCAAAATTTTAATCCGTGCTCAGCAGTGAGCAAAGTTGAACTAAACGCACCAATGAGTTTTCTAGCACAGATGTATCAGCCTTCAATCATTTTGAATCCCCCCAAGGGGAGAGAAAGCTTTTGAATTTTTTGCATGTGGGTCCAATCCAGCACTTATATGACAAACCTGTAAATCAAAAAATGAACTGCTGGTATTTTTTCATAACCTATTTTAGAAATGCAAGTACAGTGATTGTTATTGAATAGTGGTTAACTGCAAAATGAAAATCAACAGACCAGTATCTGAGATAGCATAAATATTTTCTAGTACAGAATTAGCAGGCAACAAACCAGCAAGGCACCAAAACCTTTTGGGAGAGAGCAAGGGGGAAGAAAGAACAGGAAAAAAAGTTGAGAAACACCATGTTGCATCCCTTACCACTTTGATCATAAGCTCTTCGGGGTGGGAAGCTGTCCTCCTCCACATCTGTAAAAAGCACCTACCGGTAGCATAGACTTCAACTTCGTGGTTTTACAAGGGTTGACAGGCAATAATAGTCTATTTAGATAACTACACAGCCTTTACCCACCTAATACTCAAGTATTCATTTAGTTTATACTCTTGTAATAGCAGTTTCCGTGCTAATACATGTTTACTTAAGTTTGGTATGCAACTGATATCTCAGGAATGAAAGGTGCTTCATTTTCCCCATACTCCTCTGTTTTCTAAATGCTATTGCTCAGCTTATAATTTGTTCAGTTCTCTCTAGCCTGCCGGGTAAATTTACGTGATCTAAATCCAGGCCTCTACGTCAAATGCACAATTTGGTGATCCACTTGCTCTGACTTCCTTTACAGTGCACAGGCACACGAAGGAAGAGATACCCCTGTAACTGTTAAATAACCCCTGGAAGAGCCAAATGTTCTCCACTTCTGCTTAGGAAAAAAGAGGCAATTAACTCTGTCCTCTCAGTGGGCTGCTTTAAGTCAGATGATACAAGTACTCTTCAAAAATCACCAGCGGCGTGATCCCTGCTTCAGAATAAGCATGAAAGTTTTACATTCTCAGTGGGGCTACAAAGGTAGTTACGTGGAAAATGCAAAAGAAAATCTGGGTACCTAGATCTTCTCTGCACACAAGTAGCATAAATTAATATATATATCCTTTGAAGATGGCCAAAACATTTCTGTAGTAGAACTACTTCCATTTCCCATTACATGACTCACTTCACATTCTAACAAACTGTGCTTTTTGACTCAGACACTCATTTTCCCATAGCTCATTCTGAAAACTTTTCTAAAGGAATTATCCAGTTACATTTCTTGTCCATGGAGAACTGTGCATTGAACTGTGCTATTGACACTCTTATGTTATTTCAGCCTGTAATCCCAGAGCAAAATCAGGGCAACGTGGCAGTGAACAAGTCTCTATACTTGTACAAGACTTACATATATCTTTACATAAGGTAGAAACTTACATAAATTTCTTTGCATCTTGAACAATGCCTTAACTGGTTTGTAAAGTCTTGCAGTGGCATTTGGCTGACTTTCAATATGAGTTTATGCAGATTCTTTTAGAGGAATTTTTAATGCCTAATTTCCTTCTGAAGTGAGCAGTCTACAACAGAGCAAATCTTCTCAAGATATTTTTCTTGACAGTTTGCAAGTTTCTAATGCTTCTCTTTTATAGTTAGCAGAGGCTTTACTGCCTTACTTCTTGTCTTTGTTTGATTTGTGCTCTCTATCAAATATAATAAATAAATTGAACCATTTTCTCCTCAGATGGGCTAAGCAACCAAAATAACTCCATGATCCATTAATTTCTGCTCTCTTCATTGAAGACTTGCCTCTTCTTCTCATCCCAGACATATACATGGACATTGTATTGCCAACAACCTAGACTGCTGTAAATGAAAGGGCAATGCCTATTTTGATAAACTAACAGTAACATTTAGCAAACCAAACGTATAAAATACACAAATACACATTTTTTAAATAAGAGAATTCATAATAATTTTTTCACCAAACAGCCTGCATACATTGTGTGCAGTTTGAACAAAACCTATCATGCCTATTATAAGCCGATGCCATGTCTAGAAAGCTATGTCCTTGAACTGAATTTTTGAGTGTATACACCATATCCAGAAAAGGTGGACCCTTCTTCAGCACCTGGTTGCATACAGTGAGTGGGGCCTCAGCAGGCAGATTTAAGGGTCTTCAACTCCAACTGAGTTGAGGACTTGCACCACTCTGCCTGTTGCAAGGCTGGAGTATCATTTTTCACAGACTCCATTTTTCAGCCCTTACAGTCTTATTGGAATTCTCCATAATCTTAGGCCAGGTTTTCCAGAGTTGGAAAACCCAGGAGCATTGCATACCTTTCTTTACCATTTTATATTTCCAGTCCTTAAATATCGAAGAGCTGCTGAATCTAGAAAGGAGACTTTCTGTCTCATTTTTGGTGATTCTTGCAGGTTTTCCCACAGAGTGTTGTGTTTTTGCCACCGAGGGTTGTATGGAGCACTCTGAATCTGTCAATATAATAAAATGTCATCTGCATTCAGAAAGACTGTGTGGGCTTTTTCCTCAAAATATATTTCCCTTATACTAGTGTGCAATTTTCTTTTTATTTTCACAGATCCCGTTACAGTGACAAATAACATAGGAGAGACCAGCTTTGCCAAGAAAACTCTGCTTGTCTGGCACAGTGTAGGACACCAAACATTCATTAGTTTAGTGGCCATGAGATAGTATTACGAAATTTTAACTATGCTTAATATTTTATCCCCACAGTTCATAATATTTAATGATAGTGTTCCTTCAATGCCCAGGTTTCAGCTGATTTCTGTGCGTACCATGCTCCTTCCGATAGTGCAGCCATGAGTGTAACTTCTGTCTTCATTCCTGGTATTCAGTAGGACAAAGCACTGTGTAAGGTTTGCTGTGACCCTTGAGTCCAGATTAATCAAAGGTCACCGTAAACAAAACTTGGGTCTGTGTTTCCAAGTCCTTATTTAGATCAGAAGGCTTGACTGATGTGAGATTCCAGCCCCACCTCCCCTCCAAATAATGCTATTTGCAGGGACACACACTCATGCTTCCCAGCATCTGGACACCAGAATTGAAATGAAGCTTGTGTAACCTATTGTAGGAAAATTCTTGTGTCTCTGAATGTCACATGCCCTTGCACTGGTATGGGACTTTATTCTGCAACACTTCCTTCCCAATGGATTTTCATGCAGTGTTTCGTTCTCCCAGCAGGTTGCCATCATTTTGATTTAATGCCTTCCATTAATTCTCCAGGGGTGCTGCTCTGATAGATGGGGCAGGTAGACGGTGATGCCAGTTCTAACATCCTTTCTTGCTTCTGGACATTCCTCTCAACAAAGGAGTCCCAAAATAACTAAAATTAAACTGTTGTAGAGCTGAATGTGTCTCAAAAGACTTGTGGCTCTCTCATTTACAGCAGGAAAATTTATCGGTCTTCAGTAGAAGAAATGCTACAGAGACAATCCCTTTCTTTTGGAAATTGCCTGGCTCATCGTTCCAGAGCAGAGTACTTTGAACCAGTTCTGTACAGCTGTTTTGGGAAATCAGAACCACAACTGAATCAAATCTGGGAAAAACAGGAATAGTGTGGCATTTCTGTGGGGTGCAGCCTTCCTGAGACAGAAGTTGGCCTGCACTGTCTTGTCCTGGGGCGCAATAAACCACTTTCTTTTCTGCAGAGAGAGAGCCTTAATGCCATGAAATGCTTGCTACCATCTGTGTTTCACTTACCTTCTTTTTCTTCATGCACTTTTCCAAATATTGAAGCATTTCTTTCTATCTATCTATCTATCTATCTATCTATCTATCTATCTATCTATCTATCTATCTATCTATCTAATATATGTGTGTGTGTATATATCTATCTCAAAAATACAACAGGGTTCACACAGAACAGTACAAGGGGGAAGTCTGTTCTGTGGTCTTGCCAGTGCCTGCCAGGGCTGCCTTGGTCTGGACTGCTGCAAAGCAATAAGAGATGGTAGAACTGCACCCACCATGGCACTAAGAACGAGCTTGACTTTGAAAAACATTTGTCATACTCAAGCAATCATAAATTCAATTTCATTTACAATGGCTTGACTGCAAAATGGAACTAATCAATGTTTTTGAAAGCCAGAAACACAGCTCTCTTTTACTGTAAAATTGTAAAGAGGTTTTTTCAATTGCACCTGCAAATTCTTTCCTCCTAAAACATTAGCTGGTTTACAACTTGTATTTGTAGATCAGTTTGAGTAAAGAGTATATCTGTTTATAGTCTTCCTTGGAAGTGAATTTAAAGTGTAATGCCAAACTAAGAGTACAATGATACAAATAAGAATAGCAAAGCTGGAGCAGTCTTTGCTTGGAGATATTTCATCATTTAAGTAGATTGCCAAGGTCATTTACACTACTAGATCTAGGCAGAGGATATTAAATCTTAAATGCATCAGTGCCATAAGCATGTCCCTGTCACCTTCCCTCATGTCTCAGAATAAAACCATCTCTTTTAAATTTTCTGAATTTCTACTTCAGTCCTGGAAAGCTATTTGTAGCTGCAAGTGCTATTAATAAAATTACTCTTAGGTAGATACCACAAGCTTCAGTGCTGCACTACAGAAAAATATTTGTTTGCATGGGTTATTGACAAAAACCAAATTATTAAAAATGAGAAAATCTTAACACCTTCTTCCCCCAAATATTTTTTCATCAGTGTTTGCACTTCTCATTCACACCTAACATTTCATTTGGTTTGAATACTTAACAATTCTCTGCTGAAAATGTCACAAAAACGTTTAAACAGAGGAACAAAGAAAGCCTGAATCATTTAAATCCAAAACAGGCACATATAACATTGATTAAACAAATCAAACCACAGGGTAGAAACATAAATAGTGAAGTAATCTTCACAGTGCAGAACTGCTACCAGCTCCAGGTATAAGATAGCATTGGACTGTAACTATTTCTCTGCTGTAATTATAACGGAAACACATTTGACATTATACATCATATTTTTCAATGTCCATAGGTATCAAAGTGGTTTTCCAAAACCAGTACTGCATTCAGCTTCAAGTTAAGCAGAATCTGAATATTTTTTCTCCCACGTCAGAAATTATTAGTTTGTCTTGAACCCTCACAATCATATTGCAACTGAGCATTGGCCCAAAAGACACAGCAGCTTCAAATTAAAAGCACCTACACAGTGCAGTGGAATGCTGGAGGCCAATACATAGATACTCATTATGGTTTTCATTCTCAGAGCTCCTTTGACTGAAATACAGGCAAAACACAGATTAAACAGAGGCATCTGAACTAAGATGAGGAAATTCTGAAGACTCGGGTCAGATGAACTTTGAGTTTTGCCAGATGATCTGACAGCTCCTTTATTAATAAGAACTTATCAGCAAGAGGGGTATATATCTCTCTGTGCCCACTGTGAGGCTGGCATAGTCTCAGTTTTATTCTGCACATACACTGACTAAGCCTGGTGAGGAAAGTTGGTGGAGTGCTGTCCGATCCCCTCCAGTACTGAGGCATGGCTGAGCTGCTCTCAGGTGGTCCCAGACGTGAACCTGTGAAACCTCGGGAAAGGCAGCAGCAGCTTTCACACTGGGTGTGGGGACCTCTGAGGTCAGGAAACATCTCCATTTACCACCACAGGAGCATTTCTATTCCCGAGAGAGTGGAGTGGCAATGGGGAGACAGACACGTGGGGCTGCCTTTTCTTCAGTGGGTTAGGACAAGAGCTTCAGCAAGCACAGGGCAGAGCATACTGTAGCTATCCCTAAAGACTGACCAACGGCTCTAATCAGAAGTCCAACTACAGACTGCTCAGGGCAGCTGAGGATTTGAAAAAAATAAATAAAAGAAGAACATATACAGAGCTGGAGAAAAAAACAGCCTCCAGCTGTCAGGATAACTGCTACAGAAAGAAGCACATTCATTTCCTCCTCTAACAAGAAGAAACAGAGAGAGCCTTTGAAATGACATTGCACAAAGCACCTGTTGCAAAGGACTGAATAGAGATTTTTGTTGAAGTTGTATTGCTGCAAGTTACTTGCTTGCATTTTTTTAAGATTAAATTCCAGAACTGTATAATCAAAATGCACGTAGTTAATAAAGTAATTTATGTAACCAGCTTCTGTGATCTCATAGTTAAGAATAACTGCTTATTAAGTAATTACATGCCTACCAGGTTTTTCCAGTGCAGCCAAATACATCTGCAAGTCTACAGTCATGCTTGGTGCAGAGGAATGAAACCACAAGCAGAGCCAAGGAGAGAATGACAACCTTGACACTGTCAGTGGGACCCTGGAGTGACTGTCACTTCAGGGCCCCATTATATGTTCCTTAAAATAGAGAGAATGTTACTTTTCATTCTGTTGGAAACATAAAGGCCAGTGACATCTACACACCTCCTCCTGTTAAAGTCTGGACTACACTGGGCTACTGCATAGTTGCTGTTGACATCCAGATCATCCACACACTCTGGACCTGAAACCAAGCTTTCAGCGGAACAGTTACTAATGCCAACTATACACCTAGGCAGAAAGCGGTCATTAAAATGGCTGTGTCCCTTCCTGAAGAGGTGTCTTTTCAAAAGTATGGACTTGGGACACGCAGAATTCCACTCCTTCTGAAGAAAGATAAACTTTTGCTTACAGTGGATTGAAGAGTTGCTTGGGAATGAGAAATATATCTGTCTACTCATATATAGATATAAACAACTTTTTTGCAAAATTTTACCTGGGGAAAAATAATAAAATATTTGGGAGAGTAAAGTTATTAGTAGTGTTTCCAGGTCAAGGAGGATATTCACATTCCTTTTATGGACAAGGTTCACAGTTTTGAATAACTAGGTATTATTTTGGCTACATCATCAAGTATGTGAAGTAGGAGAGTAAGTACCAAGAACATAGTAACATAGGGAAACTCTCCTGAAGGAATAAGCAAATAAAGTAGAATACTAAACATGGTTCTCCCGTTCACCACTTCAGGAACAATGATGCCTTTTGTCCTTATTTCATGTGAGTTTCAATGAGAACTTTAATACAGAGCAAAGGGAAGTTGGATATTTTGTCTTTTTAAAGCCTGTATCCTGGACATTTGGTCTGAAAAGAGACATGAGTTGCTGAGGCATCAAGTAAAGGACTAATAAGCTCACTGAAGACCTTGATTAAGGCAATGACTCCCACCCGATCATCACGTCCTATTGATGCTTGAATGCCAATGTTGGTTTTGTAATTATGGTCCAGAGCAATTAGTAACATTTGCTTATTGCTTTGAGAATGTCAAATATTAGGTGTTGCTGCCTGCCAGACCCCTCATCCCTGACACGCATCAAGCAAACTTGCCTCTCCCCCTGTTTAAGAGCAGAGCATTCTTACTTCATCATACAAGTCTGTCACCACAGATCCCACAGAGATGCTGGAATAATTACAGTACTTTGCACTTTCATACCATCCTCCCACTGGGAATTCCTAGTGCTTTATAAATATTAGCCAAAACTTATTAACTTCCTATAAAGTATGATCACTATGATCCATTTGCTTTAGGGGGACAGGCACATGCTGATGAAGACTCTTGAACAAAATTACAGAGCAAGTCAATGACAGCTCCAGTAATAGATCCCAGACACCAAGATCCCACATCCCGTGTGCTAGACGCTGGGCTGGCTATATACCATGCAGGTTGTTACCAGAACAACCCTACGTGAGGTCCCACACATCACAGCAATAGTCCTGCCTGCTAGTCACTTACATCTTTTTAAATAAAAAAAAAATGAGAGATTGAGTTTTTGGGGTTTTTTTGGTTTTTTGTTTTTGTTTTTTTTTAATCACATACAGTCCACCACATGAAAGGCATGTCAGTCATGGACATCCGGTTCCCATGTGGATAGGATCCCCTACCCCATTTTAACTGATAACACAAGGAGAACAAAGCATTACCTTCCTCTCCAGCAGTAGAGTTTCCAACAGTTTCCCTTTCACGGTCAGCCTGGTTGGAAACAGCACTTCCACTTTTTGTCCTTCGAAGAACACTGAACGCCTTGTTTATTTTTTTAAAAGATCTGCTTCTTATAGTGGAGCGTTCAAAGTGTCGAGCTGCAACAGTGGGAAAAAACAAATCAATACAGTTCAGCTATTCTGGGACAGAACCATAGCATTTCTGCAGCCCCTGGCATAGGATGGGCTACAACATCAACAGCAGGGCTGCCTGCACTTCACCTGAGTCCTGCTGAGATTCCAAGGCTACACCCACCCAAATCTGGGTAAAATTACCCTACCCTGGAATTGCCTCCTTCCCTGTCTGTTTTGCCAGCCACACAGAGAAATCTCCTGTGAATGTGGTAGCCTTGGAAAGAATAATCCTCTGCCAAGACACAATCTCAGCAGCAATCCTGTGAAAAAATGCAAGTAAAAGGAAGAAGCACAGCCCTTCCCAAGCTATGCAAGTGTGACAAAAAAAAAGCTGGAAGTTGTTAAAAACTCTTCTTGAAAAAAACCCCACTACTACTACTGCCTCAAAAGCTTGCAAGGCTTCCAAAGCCACCAACGATTGCCAACAATTTCGTGTCAAAAATTCAGGGATTATCAGCTGGGAGGGATCAAATAAGTCACATATTCTGACCTGGGTAAGGCAATACAAAAGAAAAGTCATAATACTTTCAAAACATGTCGCTCTTTTCCATCCTGCTAAAGACATCTTCATGGCTGTTGCTGTTCTGTCTCTTCCAGCTCTGCACACTAGCCAAACATTGTAATCTAATAATACAACATTCCCTTAAATCAGACTGTGGCCTCTAAACTCAATAAAACTGACAGGATTTATTGAGATTCTGGAGTTCTCTTCTTGCACCCTCCCTTTCCTTGCCTCTCCAGCTCCACACACACAAGAAGAAAGCGCAGCTCATTTTCTAGTCTTTCTTCAGCCCTCCATCCATCCTCTCAACACACAACTGGTGAAACAAGGTAGGCTATCAATTTTGGCTTTAGAATCCTCAAACACACAGTTTGAACTCACAGTTAACAATTCTGAGTCTGCCTTTGGCCAAGACATGTTTTTCAAATATGACACTCATTAGAGACAGGTGCAATGTCACAGGGTGAAAGATCAAGGCAAGATTTCCTGATGCAACTTTTCCCTGACTGTGGTTATTTCAGCAGGACTGGCTCCTCTGGCCCACACCTTCCTGAGAAGCTGGCAGATGTCTCCCAAGATCCTAAGGCAACTCTTAAAGAGTATTTTTCCTGCAAATACTTGGCAACTGCCAAACACAGTTCCAAACAGGCGTTTGGGTAGGTCCCCATGTCCATGGGGGTTACCTAGGCCACTATGCTTTGGTGAAACCATTACACAGCTACACCATCTCCCCAGCACATCATACATAACATTTAGTCTTCCAACTTAGCTGACTTGCCTCAATAATTTTTCTTAAGACTTGCAGTTTGCATGTGTGCAGCTAGTCTATCTTCAGCTTGATGCTGCCCCTGGCCATGCCATTTTTTTTTTCAACTCAAATCTCTTTGGTCACTGAGTACACAACTGGATAAGCCATGTAAAATGAAAGGTTTCAATATCCCCCGCCCCCCTTTTTTTTTTTTCAATCCTCCAACAACCTATATTTCAAAGAAAAATGAATGTTGAAAGAGGCCACCAAGCTCTGAAGCCACCTTTCTAGTTCTTACTTCTGTTTCGGTTGCTGCGGTGCAGGTCTCCGGGGCTGCTGCCCAGCTGGCTGTCCTCTGAGGTGGGGCTGAAGGCCGGGTTCACCAGCCCTGGCTCATCTGTCATTAAGGCGATGGCTGCAGCTGCTGAGAGCTCAGGGCCCAGGGCAGCCACGGCTAAGCTGGAGCCGTGGTCTGGAGAGCAGTCTTGGGAACGCCTCTTCCGTTCCTTGGTAAGGCCATAGTGAGATGCTCCTTTACATCTAAGGAGAAGGGAGGGAAAGAGACACACAATAGCAAGTTGCATTTAAATGCTGCATACTTACAGAAATTATCTGGTGCCAAGGAATCACTTGGAGCACAAACTGTGATGATCATGATGACCAGTGAAATGTGGATGATTAACAAGAGGGAAAAATGACAATCACATTGTGTTACACAGAATCAAAAACAAGGAAATCTGTCCTTCAGAGGAGCTAACACCTTACATGGAAAGACTACTGCTGGTCAAGGAAAAATAGAGAGCCACAGCCTGGTGTGTAGTCTCACATGTATAAACAGTTACTGCAGATGCAGGAGGACAGGAGTAGCAGGGGGCTAATTAAATTAGAGGCCGGTGAAATAAAAGGCACCTTACCCAGTCCTGCATCCTGAAAAGCCCTCCCAGTCATCAAGGCAGTCACACGTGAAGCACAGTACTGTGGTCTGCAGAGATCAGTGCAATCAGTGAAGGGAGGGCTGCAGGTGGGAGCTGAACACCTGGGAGCTGCAGGAATCCAGTCCCCACAAGGTGCCCGTACAGACCATTTACTACTTGAACCACACCTGGGGACCTGTTTTCAAATTCAGCAGCCTCATCTGAGGTTGCCAGCTCTGCTATTCCAGCTCAGTTAAGACACTAAAATAAAGAGGTCATTGCCTTGACAGAGGAAGAGGTGCAAGAAGTGGTAGGTGGGTCCCACTTCCTCTGCATCCCTACCACTGCCAAGGAGGGAGTGTAGGGCTCCCACCAAAATACTGAGAGTAGATCCTCAGAGCAAGGTCCTTAGGTCAGCCTTGAGCAGCTTGGGGCAGGTCCTAAAATACTTCTGAAAGAAAATCCAAATCCTAAATCCTAACTATATCTCCACAGTGACGAAATCCTCTATTTGTAGTGGACATGCATATTCCCAAAAGAGCTGAAGATAAAGCATTATAAGAGGCAAATTACAAGCCTGCTTTGAAACAAACTTACCTGTGGTGCCAACTATCTGCTCTATATTCATACTAGACCGTGAAGGCAAGACCATGTGTGGCATTTCTTTTCTAAGACTCATTAAAGAAAGTCACCAGAATGAAACAGAAGGTCGCTGTACTCTTTATGAGTCAGTATTCAATTAAAGCTATAAAATAACTGAAAATATAGAGTGGCCAAGGACACAACATCTGTGACTTTTCTCCAGCACCTCTTCTGCCCAGTGCCCACCCACTAGAACCACATTCACTGCATTAAAAAAATAATCATCTGCCTTTTAATCATAATCTAATGAGGTTGGCCTACTTTCAGTTACTATTATCTCTTTCTTCATAGCAAAGGCTAACTGATGACTTTCATGAAAGTGCCCTGTAGGACAAACTCACAGAAATAGCTGCAGAAACCCTTAGGGATAGAAAGCTCTTCGTAATATATGGCATGCACAAAAGGCAATGCATAATACATGCAGTACACAATGCTAGTGGGTTAAGTGTCATGAAAAGAAGTAGTACACTGAACAGAAGCCTTGGAAGAGAAATGATTTATGGAAGCAGTTTCTGGGACAGAAAGAAAGAAGTCACAGAACTCTCTGTATTAGCTTTAGAGCAGCACTTTAATTTCTCTTATGGTATTGGCTTTTGATAAGACAATTGAATTAAAACCTTTTTTGGCACTAAATTATGATTTACCATCATTTACCTCATACCACTTCTGACAATTCTCATCTTAAAGAGGGGAAAAAGCCCTAAAGCAAACTGTCATATTGATGCAATTCTGCAAGGGCTTTGTGTATTCTTTAAAGCTTGGATGGGAATGGCTCTAACAGAAGTTACTTCTGAAACATTTCACAAGCAAAATGAGGAATCTCAGTAGGAAATACTCTTATGGAAGAGAAGATTGGTAAACTATTTCAAAAGACTGAAAAAAAAGCTATTTGAGGCACCTATTGCAAGGCAAGACTGCAAAAATAGTTACGTAAAACAGAAAGGAAGAGCTCTCCTACCTCCCCTGCAGCAGGTATTTTTCTATTGTTTCCATAAAATGAGGTGTGACTTCCTCACTCCCCCAGAATCCTACACCATGGCAGGTTGCTGTCCTTTAGATTTCACAAGGAGCAGAAGCACAAAGATCTTTCCCCCTTGCTGCTTATCTAAGCTTCTCCAACACATCATTTTGGAAACCCATCCTTGACATCTCCCACTTGCAATTTAGACACATTTGCTGATCCAGCCTATTAATTCTCGACAAAATAGTTAAAAAATAGTCTAAAAACACAACAAAGTGAACACAAAGAATTGGCTTTGGGGAGAACTGTTTACTGTTCTCAGAAGACAGTCTCTGCTTTACATCAATCCCACAAAGATTTAGAGTATAAGGGATAGTCCTACTCCTCCACATTTTATTTCATTTGCCTCTGTTTTCACCATGCCAGTAAAGTTTTTTATATTTTGTGAGTTCTGTGTAATCAACATGAAGATCAGAAGTGGCTTTGCCCAAAGATTCCCAGCTACCTGGATTCAACCACCGCCTGGTGCCCATCTGCACTTCACTCCTAAAGCCTTCCCTTTCTATGGAAGCCCTCACTCGCTGCTGCTGGCTGCGCTGCAGACACAGTCAACAGCATCAGTCTAACAGCAATGAACAGAAGACAGTTACTTTGAATGTAGAGAGGACTGACACAGTTAAGATGTGGCTTATTGGAGAAGACAAGTTGTCATGACACAAAGCACAAAGCATATCTTTCTGACTCTGCCAGAAATAGTTAAAAGAGAACCAAAGCTCTTCAAGCGTGAGCACTGAAGCTATTTCTTAAATAATTGTGGCAGGCATAAATGAACACAAATCAAGCCCGCTTTCTTCAGATTAACACAGTGTCCTTGAAGAAGAAAAAAAAGTCCCAAGACCTCAAACTTGTAATAAAATCTGCAACGGCATCTCTTCCCTTTCATTGTTTTGCTTATGCTGACACTGCTGTGATAACAGAAAACAGAAGAAATTACTGTCTAAGTGGAATCATATTTATAGTGTCTCAGCTACATTTTTCCATATGGTTGGATTTGGCTCCCAGAAAAGAGGGATCCATAAAACAGCTACATGCCAGTACTAATTAGCTCTCTCACTATGATTATTAATCACAATGCCTGATTTACAGCTGGAAGAGCAGGATACCTGATTAACATAGGCCAGTCAGAAAGTGAACCCAACACTGTCTGCAGGCCAAGGTGAACTACAGATTTATGTTCCTTCTCAGTCGCATTGGACAGCAAGTACATCCATACAGCCGTACGATACCGAAACAATTTGAAGGCCAAACTCAAGAGAGATAAACAGACATTAATAATGTGTGTTGTACAGTTCATGCCGTTAACATAGTGTCAGTAGGTGCATACAGGAAATTGAGAAAATAGCCTCTTCTGTTTGCACAGCCTCTTTTATGAAGCAGAAATGTGCTGCCTGAAATTCTGGCCATATGAGCTAACCCTTGGGCAGTGGAGAGCAGTGGTGGCTGCTGAAACTTCACCCAGGGCTGCAATTCTGGCTGGTATCAACATTGGCAGCCACAGGGCAATCTTTGCCCTACACCCTGCTCCACATGCAAGGGAGGCTCTGCACTCCAGGCTTCAGGAGCAGCACATCCAAAGTGCTGGAGCAAGAAGATCCAAAATACCATGGTTGCCTTAACTTGGTCCTATCATTCGTAAAAACAACCTTCAGTCAAACTCAAGGCCAAAATAAACATATTCACATCATTTGAAATTCAAATCAAAACAGTGGTTTGAAAACAGATTTTTCCTTGCAGCATCCCTGACTAGCACAGCAAAGGAGGGATTGAAAGTGAGGCTGACCTCAAGGATTTCTATTACCCAGGCTGACATACAGGCAAAATGTAAAGCCAAAACATAAGCAAGGACAACTGCATGGATTTTTTTGCTCCTCTTCTGGTGATCTGAATGAAACAAAACCACAGGTAAAAAACATGTATGTATTTGCCCACGGAAGGGGATTGGAACTAGATGATCTTTAAGGTCCCTTCAACCCAAACCATTGATTCTATGACTTATAATGCATTTTTTCTTTCTGTGTCACTTCACAGGCTATCCCCCTTTCTTCCTGTCTTGGACTTGACTAAGTGAAAAAAGTGAATCTAAAGAGTCACAGTGCCTGCGAGTCAGGTCTGACACAAATAAACGGAGCAGTTCCTCCTTGCCCAGTTCCAGTAGTGCTTTCCCAACCTTGCTTCGAGCACACAGATTCTGGAGCTATTTTGCTTTAGTACAGAAGTAGTGGACATATTGTCTGAATGAAATTAAAAATAATGTATACAAAGCACTTACGATTGCCCAGCAGAAGAAAATCCTGCATAATTGGCTGTCATTGCTGATCCAAAACTAAACCATAATCAGGGCAGACAAGTACGTTTCAGCTATGGTCTCACAGCAAGCAGCCTCATCCCTGTGTAATTTAGGTTGGACACAATCTGAGACCCAAAGTACCAGCAGTGTGTATCATACCCCCTGTCACACTGATGCTCCCAACTGCTCTGGTACCCCTGAACTGATTCAGTGGAAAGGCTGAAGGAGCAACCAAAGCCAATCAGCAAGGAGAGTCCTGGATAACCTGGTGCTGATTAACCTCACCTGTGAGACCCTGGTGAGAGGTTCCTGCTGTGCCTGGGAAGAAAGGAGAGGGGAGCTTGAACTGGAGAGGCTGGCTCACAAGAAGGTGTTGACAATTCCTGCCCCATGGGAACCATTCTCACCATGTGTGCATCAGCAGTGACTGACACAACTCAAATACCTACCACATGGATTTCAGGTCAAATACCTAAACTCTAAAGTTTTCTGAAACTCCATCACGAGGAAGTGAAGTGACTTGATCAGTTTTGAGACAAGGATGACACCCTTCTTCTGATCTTACTTTTGCCAACTGTGCACCAGTAAATGTAGCCAAATAGGAAAAAGGAGCAAGGCATCTAAACTCCAAACAAATCCCATGTTACAGATGTCAGATAGAATGCAACAAAGGCAC